GGCCATGTGGGCTGCTACCAGAAGCTAATAGGGTCTGAAACTCACATCTTCCCGCCTTGTGTTCTGGATGCTGGACATAGAGCTGCAGGACTTACTATATGTCCTTTGAGGTTTTAGTCTTGCTTTGGTCCTATTGTTTCCCATTCCTCTATTTCTCCTCTTTGGAATGGGAGTGTTTACCCTGTGCCCCTGTACTTTGGGAATATGTAGTAAGTTTTGTTTTTTTTTTTTACAGAGCTTTACAGCTAAGACTGCTTTATGTCTCAGAAGAGACTTTGATTTGGATTTTTGAAAACTGCTGGTACTGTTGAGACTTTGGGGAGGGAATTGGTGAATTTCCAGTGTGTGTAGGATAGTTATATCATGCTAGGAAGAGCTGCAAACTTCCTCTTGCCTTTATTTGGAGATTAAGTATGTTTTTAGGAGATGTGTCTGGTTGTCAAGTTGGCAAGGGTTGGATTTTGGCCATTAATTTGTGATAGGTCAACTTGACTAGATTAAGAAATGCCCTGTGGACTGGTATAGCACACTTCTGGTTGTGGTTGTGGGTCTTGCAGGTGTGTCCTTATATACTTCTTATGGTCCCTTGACCCTTCCTCCTCCTTCCCCTTTTTCTGATTCCTGCCACCCAATGTGAGTGACTAGTTTTCCCCACCGCACTCTTCTGCCATGAATATTCCTGCATTAGAGCTAAATGACCATGAACTGATCCCCTGAAACCATGAGCCGAATTAAACCTATCGTCCTTTAAGTTTGGGTGTCAAGTATTGTATCTTAGCGATGTGAAGGGTGATTAGCACACTGGAACCCATAGTCATGACCTTACAAGGCTGCAATCTGTACTTTAGCCAGGCTGTGTTCTTGCCTTAGTTGTCTTCCTCCAAGATCACATTGTTGTTGCTAGAATCTGGTTCTCTGTGGTTGTAGGACTCAGTTTTTTCTTGCTGGCTGTCAGTTGGATGCCACTCTCAGTATCTTGAGTCCTCAATCATTTTTTTTGCCATGTGGCCTCTCTGCTTTGGACACATGAATCACTTTATTTCCTGAAGGTCAGCAGGAGAATCACTAGTCTGCTTAAATAAAGTCTTTCATGATCAAGGTAGTGACATCCATAACTTTTGTCAGATTTTATTGATTAGAAGCAAGCCACAAGTTCTTCTTGTATTCAAAGAGGATAGATTATTCAGGAAGTGGCTCTTTGATGATAATGATGTTAATGTATATCTGCCACAATCTCATATTATATTCAGAAGTACAAAAGGAGGACTTTGTACTCAATTTTGAATTATATTAGTGTTTTTCTTCCTCTTTATTTTTTTTATTTTTTTATTTTTTTTTGGTACCAGGGATCAAACTCGGGACCTTGCACTTAAGAGGTAGGTGGCGAAATCACTGAGCTAAATCCCCAGCCTCTTCTTTATGTTTTTACAAGTAGAACTGACATATCTTTTGGAAAGTACACCCTACCTTTGCACTAATATAAACAAACTTTTATTTCTATTGGCATTAAAAGATTACCTAATCATCTGCCAATAAAATAGTTTATCATACATAGTGGGTGACCCCACCCCTGGTCCTGGCCCACCATCAGTGAGATTGATATCTAAATCCAGTAGATTAATTCCTTATAATTTATTATTAAAGCCATATCTATAAACTGACCCTACTTTCTATTATCATAAGATCTCATTTCAAATCAAGCAGTCATTTATTAGACCCTAAGTAATGCTAAATGGAATAAATTTACATTTAATTGTCTCTTGCAGAAATATCAGGCAAATGTTTAGTCTTTATGATTCTAATTTTGCAGCTGTCCCAGGTAAGATAAAAGCAAGACAAAAGAAAATGTGTCACTGCATCAATGATGTGTTTCTGAACATGGAGCCCTGTGCAATGCTTACTGAGAAATATCTCTGAAGTATATCAAGAGAAGAAATGCTTATGTGTTTGGGTAAAACTATTCTGATAGTCTGTCATTTGAAAAATGTTCAACAATGCCAGAATCCTAATGTTCTCTGATGTGGGTGTTGACTTGTCTTCTTTATATCCAGAGCCAATGGTCATTCCAATCATGTGGCCATCCAACTTGGATTCACCTCTTCCAGCAATGGTGGGAGTGTCGATTTCTTTAATATTTTCTTTGATTCTTGTGTAATATTTTATCTTAATATTATGCACATTACATTCAAAATGTATGAACATAAGTTTTTAAAAAATAGGAGATGAAAGGTTCTCTTCAAATCTTTCAAATGATAAAAATGTTTTTCCCGTGTGTGGGCACAAATTTGAAAAGAGGGGGAAGGTGCTGAACAGTCAGAGATGGATACAAAAAACTAATGGGCATGGCTCAGTTTTAAATTGGACTAGCCTTGGCAGGAGTGTGGGCTGTTTGATGCTGCTGGAAGCCACGAAGTATGAATTGACATTGAGGCGATTGATGTGCATTGTCATGTTCCACAGAGGGCTTTTCTTGTAATAAGAAAAAAAAATTGAAATTAAGGAAAAATAGTGAAAGATTCTTTAATTATTCATGTCCAATATTAATGAAAAATTTTAAAGTTTCATAGGACACAATGGGGAAATTACTAAGGATTTCCAATATAATTTGGTTTATTTTGCTAAAAATTTATATTGAGAATTTATAACAGAAATTAGTAAAGTAACATAAAATAAACTTTTTACAGCCTTCAGAATATAATTTAACATTTAAGCTACATAAAAGTAGATTTCATTGAGCTATCCTTTGGAGACTTTCATTATACTTGGTACTTTATAAGTATTAAAGTTTATACAGATAATCTTTCTTCTCTTTTGCCCAACTAAAGGGAATAAACTATGCAATATATTTGCCTTATGTGATAACTTCATTATGAATAATATATTGATTTAAAGGCCATTATTCACAAGAGGTAGCATATTTATCAATATAAGCTAGCATTTCCTTGATGCTTAGATGTAATCTATACTATTATTGAAATTAAACAATACTTTGTGTCCAAACTTAATGGTCTAATTATAATCATATAATATTTGCATGTATCATCATCATCGTCATTATTATTTCGAGACAGGGTCTCACTTTGTAGTTCAGGTGGGTTCTGAACTCACTACATAGCCCAGGCTGGCCTTCACCTCACAGTGAACCTCCTACCTCAGCCTCCCGAGTGCTGGGATTACAGGTGTGCACCACCATGCCAGGCTGCATGTATTATTTTAATGATGAAAACAAAGATTCTTTGAGGTATTCTAAAATACCAAAAATTTTAATGTGACAAATTAATAAATGTGTAAAATTAAAGTATATTTAAACTGAAAACTAAATTGAAATGTAGTTTTTCCCTATATGCCCATATGTACTTTTTGCATAGCTTGTTTTAAGCAGGATTTCACTTAGTTAATACCATATAATATTTATTAAACGCTTATACTTAGACATTGAACTTCTCTTTTCTACAAATCTTCTATTCCCCCACTTACTTTGCCTGACTTTTTTAAGGAAAGCTCTTACTCTGTCCATAGTAGCTGTTAGTCACGTGTCCCTCTGCTCTGCCATGCTGTGATGCCAAGAACCAGGCCCACCGGGGAAGGACTTAAGGAAGCGAGCATTTTACCTACAGCAGCAGGAGGCAGTGATCAGCCGTCATTCTTGGCAATTCCTTCAAATCTGGTGTCTGAGAACTCATTTGGCTATACTCAGACCAAGTCAAGGCTTAACTCATTTAATAGCAGATTACTAGCATTCACACAGTTATATTTCACTTATATTACAGATTGATTTTTGGTGAAAACAGTAATGTTGAACCTAGAAACGAGAGGCCTGGGAAAGTAGCATCTGTTTAACTGTGAATGTCTATCAACCAACCAGGCATTTCAAAGCATACTGTCAGTTTGTTTTGTTTGGCTTTGTTCTTTTTTTTAAGGCAAAATCTTCAAAATACTTAATCAGTTCCAAAAACACACAGAGAGGACCAGGGGGTAAGGAAGGAGAGGGAAAGATGGGAAAGAAATAAGACAGAAACAAGGTGAGGGTGGGGGGCGGGAGGAAGGAAGACCTTCCCTTTGGAATTATCACATCAACGAGGAAAAAAGAAGTTTTATTTTACCAGACTGCAGCCTGCTGTACAAGTGCATTCCAGTGGGTTCTAGCAGGTCTTACCTTTTGCTGAATGTCTAAGCTGTGCAAATGTTGGCCCCAGAATTGATTTTGAAAAGTAAAGTGGGAGAACAGGACTTAGAAATGCAGTACCTCTTAAAATTTGGAGATTTTGAAAGAATTCGAAAATGGTATTTCAATCACTAGAATGAATTTCAAAGAATTTCATTTTAAAGCAATAGTCTGCTTTCTTTTAGAACTTGTTAGGTTAAAATACGCTTGCTATTTGGATCAAGAATATATCTGATACTAGAATAACACACAATCTTAAAATATAAACATTTTAAATCCATGTCAGTTAGATTTCTCATAATTATTTTGTCTCCTTTCCACATGGCCAATTATAGAAAAATCTGTGGAGGAAGAGTTTACCGAGCCATTTATCAAGCAAGAGCAACTCTGTTGTGCCAAAGACAGTGTTAGCTGATGAGTTAAGGTTGAAAAGTGAATACCAATTCTCAGATTAGGATCATGGTTTCACATACACCCTATAATCATTTGAGTGTGGATTGTGATCGCAGTTTCTTATGCCGTGAATATCCTTTTATAAAATTTTTATAATATATTTGGTTAAAAATTGGCAATGCCTTAGTATATGATTGAACATAGAGAAATTGAAAAAAACTTATTTGTTAATGCAGCTTAATAACTGAAGATTGTGATGCTCTCAGAAAAGTTCTTTTCATGTTACCTATAATTGAAATCAGAATAATTTCCTTTGTTATCTATGTCTACTTCCAAATTAATGTTGTTCCTAGCTCCCAGGCTCTGGATCCACTTTTTCCCTGAAACTGTAATAGCCATTGTCCCTTCTTATTCCTAATGACTTGCTACTTTTTCAATACAGGTAATGGTCTAGGAATTAGGATTGTGGGTGGCAAAGAAATCCCTGGACATAATGGAGAAATTGGAGCCTATATTGCCAAGATTCTTCCCGGGGGAAGTGCAGAACAGACAGGGAAGCTCGTGGAAGGTAAGAATGCACAGTTTCAAAGTAAAGCACAGTGAATATATTTATATGAAATGTGTCTTAATTTAGTATGTAAGTGTTGTCTTCCATTTCTGCATAGGCAGCTTTTCTGCCGATGGCCTGTGAAATTTTGGCATAACAATGTAAGAGAAGATGTATCCACAAGCATGTTCATTTTCTTTGAAATTGCATTGTCCTTTGGGTAGTTGGTGAGCTGCAGGAATATGTTGTTTGCAAAATCAGTAATTAGTCAAGAGTTTTTACAAACTGGGGCAATGTTATTAAAAAGCACTTTGGATTTATCTGGATTAATGTTTCATAAATACAAAGTATATGTATTTTGTAGCAATCAGGACTACAAAAATTCAAGATTCAGTGCAAGCTAAAGTTGGGTCACATCTGCTACCGTTTTTGAAAGCAGTGTCTTTTGGGACACAGCCATGACCACAGATTTACACGTGCAGCGCAGTGCAGTCTTGCTAGGGTCACAGAAGTACATTCAGGACAGAGACAGTATAGTCAGCAATGTCTGAAATATCTATTCCCTAACCATTGGAGACAAGGTCTCTCAACCCCAAGACTCAGCACTGTGCTCTTATACACTGTTCACCGTGTTACATTATAAGCATTTTAAATAATGATTTTCACAGGTGTGGCCAAGACCATATATTTCATTATTTTTGTTCAATGCAGCATTATAGCTGGTTTCTCAAAATACATAATGATAATTTTCAACTATCAGTCAAATAATGAGGTTGTTCCTACCTTCCAAATTCTCTCTCTATATAGCTGGTGAACTCCAAGCAATATTCTTTGCATTGAACACTGTTTTTCATGAAGTAGATATAACCTTTCAATTTCATTCTACATAAGGCACTTACTTGTAAAAGTATTTTTCTGTCATTTCATAGTTCAAATTCTCCCTGTTGTTGCTTAAAGCCTTTTATTATGTTAAAAATGATTCACTGTCATTGTCTTATATCAAAATTTTGGGACCTAACAAAAAAGTCCTTGGATATTTTGATATACTGTGAGAATAAATATGGACTGGAGGCAGTATTTGTTCATCACAGTTTTGTGCCGGCAGCAGCTTGGCCCAACTTATTAAAATGTGTCGTGCACATCTGGTCCCAACTGGAAGTTCAGCATCCTATGGACAGTTTGAATCGGGCACAGCGGAAGTGTTTACAGTGTGGACAAGGGCAAATGCTCTAAATTAAGGCTGTTTTTGCTTATTTTCAGTTGCTTTTAAAATGCCAGTTTACCAGTGTATGAAAAATACACAACTCAGAGCGCATTATTACAAATATTAGAATGGTATTGATAAAATTGCAAAAATTAGGGAAGCCAGCCAGATAGCTAATGCGGGAGGGAGACAGCCGGTGAATCAAGAAGTAACAACCGTGAGAAAATCACTGGGTCTGCAGGAATCGTCAATAACTACAACGCTTCCACAGTCAGTACTACTTTTAAGTTTTTGCAGTCTAGTTAGGATGCATGTATTGAGATTTCAAGACAGGAGTGACCAGCTCACTTCAGCATAGCATACTCCGCAAAGAAATTGAATAGTCAATTTTTATTTCAAAATTAAAACTGTAAGCTGGCACTGTGGTCCGCACCTTTAATCCTAGCACTCTGGGAGGCTGAGACAGGATGATCAGAAGTTCAAGCCTGGCCTGGACAAGTTAGCAAAATCCTGTCTCAAAAAAGATATTGTATTGTTTCTGTGATGTGGGAAACTGAAAGAGTAAACAAGGACCAAAATGTTTAATTGATATTGGGAAACAGGAAGAAAATGTTCAAATGAGAAGAGGCACAGGGAGGGGGGTGGGGTTAAAGGAAGGAAAGGAAAAGAACAAAAAAGAATAGAAGGAAAAAATGGAAACAAAACTTTTGTAAATAAGGTGGGGGAAGGAGGTTGAAGAAAGAGGAGGAAGCTGGGGAAAAAAGAAGAATCAAGATATATTATGCACAAGTACAAATTCCCTGTGATGAATGTGATCATTTTGTATATCTAAAGTATACTAATAAAATTAATTTTCAAAAACACAAAAACAAAAGAATAGAAAAGTGATAAAACAGAACAAAAAATGGCTGAAAATATAGTACAATGTTCTCTGAGTGCAATCTCCAGGACAAAAAGAAAGGAAGAGAGGGAGGGAAAGAGGGAAGGAAAATTGTAAGAAAAGTGTAATAATAATGCTGCCTGATATCATTTGGCAGAATTGCCTTAATAATTTGCAGATAAAATCTCATAGCCTTATTGGATTAAATGAGCAAATACTACAGATGAGGATGACTTTAAAGACAATATCAATGCCATGACGAAGCAATACTCTGCACTTTAAAGCCTCTGGTCTTTTTAAAAGATCAGATGTTTAATTTCAAGCCAGGTGTAATACAGATTCATCGAAGAGAGAAAACTGAAGTGAACTAAAGTTACATTTGTAATTTCACAATCCGTAAGACTACCAGGAAAGACCTCTGATCTTAAGAACTAGTTTTGCAATTTATCTGATTTATAGAAGATTTTACTTTATTAGTTATTCTACCTATTCTCTCAAAATCAGGCTTTTCTGTGAGCACAGACCCGACTACTGGAGTCCAGTTTGTAGAGGCCATACCCATAATTTCTTTAGGGTTTCCAGCCTTGCTTTATTTATTCCTCAATCATAAGTCCTACGTAAAACTCCTGGAAACATTTCTACTAGATTCATAACACTGTCTTGACTGTCAATACTGAAACACCATTTTAGTATGAAATATTCTGTGGATAAAATTAACATGACAGGGCCAGGAATTTAGCTCAGTGGTTCCACTGCCTGCCTCAAAAACGCAAGGATCTGTGTTTGATCCCCTGTACAAAAAAAAAAATTAACATGACAAATCCCCTCTTTCTTCCACCTATAAATGCTGACCCATGTCCTGGGCTGCCACCCTAGAACAATGAAGGTTCAGTCCTTTTATGGCCAGAGCTTACCTAGCCAGGTGACCACCACCACCCTGGAATCCTCGAGCACTTACGTTGTTTAAACTAGTGCATTTCCCGGTTCTGTGTGTATTTGTGTATGTGCATGCACATGTTTGTTTGTCTATAGCTGTAGGTTTTACACATGACATCCTGAAAGTTTAGGGCTTTGAACTTAAACTCCTAATAGGTTATATAAAAATTTTAAAGCAATATTTACTTGAAAATATTGATTTTTTATGCCTTGTGTGAAATTGAACATTATTGTAATAACACCAATTGTGTATCGCAGAATGTTGTTTTCTTTTAATTTAAAAAATATTTCATGACCAGTGATATTTTTAACGTATTTATTGGAGGGAATAAAAATGATTTATTTTTCCATATTTTGAATTCAATTATTTTCCAAGGAAGAAATGTTACCTATTTGACTAAGATAGCTAGGTAGGTTGGTGGATAGATAATATAGATAATGTGCATGTTTACATTATTGAATTTCTCTGTCTGTACAATGAATTCCAGATAAACATAAGAAGTAATGATCTCTTCTAGGTATATATTTGCTATCTGTAGTTCTAAATACAGAAGTGAATAGACTGAGCCCTTACTGAATCAACATTGTCTTCCAGAGGGTTTGAAATGTGAATGGCTATAGAAAACATAGGCTTTGCTTTTCTGCTCCAAGCTGCAGAGCTGTTGCTTGAGTCTCCTGTCTATTTAACTGAGTCTACTCCTCTTCTGCATCTGTTCATCTCTGCTCTAAAAGGCTTTCATACTCCTCAGGCTCTGACATTTTAACACTTTAACAGAAATCGATGGCATAAATGCTAATCGGCATGACTTTGTGGAATGTGATATTTTCAGATTTCCTGTAGCTTTTTGCTCTCTGGAATTATCCATTTAAAACATATTGACACAATTGTGTAGGTTTTCTGGTGCTCATAAGCCAATGTTATTCTGAATATACTTGCTGATTTTTAATAGCAAAAACAAAATCCAGTGTATTTTCAGTTACTGCTCTCGTTATTTTTAAAGAATATTTTCACTCCATCTTTTTTGCAAATTCTTTATGAAAATAGTCTACCTTGATTAAAAATGTAGTATTTTAGAATGCTGAGAAGTAACAATAATTATTATTACAAAATTATTAGGTTACACTCAAGAAATTGAATTTAAAACACTAATATTAGCTTGTTTGCCATCTTCTAAAATAAAAGCTCACGTTTCCATTAATCCAAAATTCCCAAATCACTTTAGTTCTATATCAACCTTCAGTGGTTTTCTTAACTCAGTCAGGTACTCTGGATCTTAATCCTCCAAAAATCTTAAAACTTATTTCATAATAATATTTAGTGTATATTTCTGAACAAACACCGAACAGAGAATTATCTGTAACTTATTATTCCTCCTTTTAATTGCAGAAGATTAGACATTGCTAGGGATTTAATTACAAATCTAAGTTTTTAAAGCACCATCTCCTGCTATTTGTTTTAGAATTAAAATTTTAACACTTTTTAGACTAACAGTGTTGAAGTTTGAAATGTCCACTGATGTTGGAATTTTAAATGCTGTACTATATGTTCTCCCATTTTGTTCTTCAATACCGTTGTTTCTCTTCCAGCTAATTTGAATATCAACATACCCTAGAACTTTGAAAGCTTAGTTACAATTTGCCAAGTTTATTTCAAATCTTTATCCTTAGATAAATGATTATAAATCTTTTCATTTCACAATACCAGTATCAATTTCAGCCTAATCAACTCTTGTCAAATAGGCTAAAAAAATGATCTCCTCTATTCGAAAGTCCCTAGAGCGACTATTTTGCTTGTGAAACTTACTCAGTATCATTACAGTTCTAGAAAACACCTGGGTCATGAAGTGAAGAATCTCGCCTCAAAATAGTAAACGAAACATGGAATTGTCTGTTCTGGTTCATTTGCACTTCAGAGCCGAGCGTGTTTTGCTGTCCGTCGAGTACATTTTTCCTGAAACAACGCAGTGGCTGAATTTCTCATCCCACAGTAACGGCAGAAGTCAGGATCTGGTCTCCACAGTGCCCCCCGAGGCAGCTGCGAATCCCACCATCCCTTTCCCCGTCAGGCAGACGGCCTCGCCAGCCTGACAGAGCCCGCTCTTTGTCCTCCGCTCACCCACTAATGCTCCAGCGCAGCCTCGCGCATCTGTGATTGCTTCTCTGATGAGGAGCAGTCCGCTGGGCAGTTTGCCTCAGCATTCACGGTTTAAATACGCAATGTAACATTTAGTCAGGCCCTGACGGGTAATTTTCATAACTTTCTGCGTGTGCAGAAAGAAAACTGTAGAGAATAATATGGCCAGCAGTCACATACTATCCTGTAGGTTTGGCGTTTGTTTTAAAGAGAGTTGAGGATCGGTAAATCAGCCAAAGCCTCCTGCAACTTCCTCTCCTCTCGCAAGCTCACTGCTGCCCCAGGTGAGGCGCCACGCTTCAGTCTGTTACATCCTTGCCTGCTTTTCTCCGGTGTTACATATGTGTCTGTACCAATGGAATGATTCATCGGCTTGTTTACAAAATAGGAGTAGTGTCTTACTCTGTGTGTCTTTGCACCACTTTTTGGGTCACTTGAAGTTTTTGAGATTTATCCAAACTAAAGGTACATACTTGTTTAAATACTGGACAGAATTCCATCATTGAGCTGTTGGGTAGAATTCTATTATTCTATTCTCAACTACAATTTAAACATTCCCTGGTTACTATGTGATTTTTGAAACTATTTCAAACAGTACAACGATTGTTGGAAGTCGTCTCCCTGTGCACATGTACAGGAGTTTCTTCCACAATCAAGCTCATGTTCTGGGCTTTAAGGACTGTTGATCTTGTCATTTAGGAGAATGTTGTGTGGCTCCTTTCACTACATGTGAATATTCCTAATTGTTCTCTAAAAGGTTTATACTCTTGTTTATTCATTGGTCGCAAATTCAGGTTCTTGTTTCTTTACCTCCTTGTTCTGTTTTCTCTGAATGTCAACTCTATTGCAGAATGGTAGCCTACTGTGCTGTCTATTTACTTTCCAGTTAACAGTGTTGTGTATGATTAGGTTTTAGTGGTCATTAGCTCTTGGGTTGTCCCCATTGTGATTTGCCTGGTCCTTGTCCTTATTATTTAATTGTGCCACTTTTATATATTTTATTGATTTTTTAGAAATACCTTATCCTTATACTTATTTTTTAGTTTCTGGCTTTTTGGTAAGAAGGTGCAATTTTAATATAGTTAAATTTATAAATGTTTTATATTGTTTAAGAAAATTCTCATGATCTGAAGTCTTTATCATATATTTTCTTCTAAAAATTGTAAAACTACATGTCACATAAATATCTGTAGTCATATAGTTAAGTTGTTTATCTGTGATAAAATATAAATTTTATATTTTAGTTTTGTTTCCCTCCTCAATATGTATAATCAATTTCCTGAGCACCATTGTTTGAATAGTAAAATTTATTTTGATTAACCTATAATATTATATATTGGTTTTCATACAAGTATTTTTTTCTGAGTTCTGTGTTCTGTGCTACAAGTCTCTTAGGCTATTCCTACCATAATGTCTCACAGTGATTTCTCTAAATTAAGTTGTGACACATAGAGGGGAGAGCCAACATATTGCGGTTCTTGAAAATCCTCTAGGGATAATTCTTGACCCTTTGATCTTGCATAGAAATTCTAGAGTCAACTTGTCAATTTTCATGATAATCTCTGTTAAGATTTGGTAATGACTATATTGAAGGTATAGATTAATGTAGAAAATGTACTTTTATATATAGTCATATCTGTTTGAAACATTCTATATATGAAACTTTCTTTATATAAAGTGTTTCAACATATCTTCAAAATGTTTGTAATGCCAAGCCTGTGGTGTACGTAGTGACTGAGTCATTATATTCTGAATCAATACTGTAAAGTAAGTTAGAACATAAAAACTAAAAGTAAGTAGATGGCAACTGTTCAACTTTTAAGAATTTTGTGTTTTTATACCAACTTACAACATTATTATGCCTTTGGAAAAAGTGAGGAAACATACTTTAAAAATAAAATTGGAAATGTAATGGATAAATCTAACCATATATGTGCATATCATTGGTTCTGATTTTTATTTAATAAATGGATTTCTTGGCTCCAAATTACTTTCTTTCTCCAAATTACTTTTTCCTGGTTTAATGTTGTAACGTCATCATTGTTACATGACTGGTGTGATACTTGGAAAACTTCTATAATTTTTATAAGAGAACTAGGAATCCATAAGTACTAACAATAGCTTTTACCCAATGAGCCAAAACCAATTTTTTATGTAATGATAGGTTGTCTGACTGGAAGCTAATTTAGTAAAATCTTTTGAAGCTTACATATCTTTATCATTATAATGGATAAATTTGTTTGGAAAGTTGTTTGGAGGTAGGGCAGGAATATAGGGTTAAACTATGAAGTAGTTTCAAGAACCAACTTAATGAATCAATAGGAAAATGAAATGGTAGTGGAAAAGTTAAAATCAGTGACAGCCAGTGTGTGTTCGTGGGTTTATCGAGAGCTGTATGGCAGGTTAACCTCTCCCAGACCCTTAGACCTGTACAAAAATGAGAAACATCATTGTTTGTTGAAAGGCTATTCTATGAGGACTGCACCTGATCCATTCCAATTCATGGATATTTTAAGATACTTAGTTTGCAATTGCCTCAGTGCATGTGGGTGATTGATACTCATCTAACCAGCTAGCTCTTCTTAAAGACAAACTGATAGTTTCGAGCAAAACAATACTGTTGGATTTATTGTTGAGAATCAGTGATTGGGGTGAGGGTGAAGTTGTGTGAGTAGTTATTTTGCTTTTAGACTCTGGCCTGTGGAAGTCCCTGCTATGAAGAAGCCCATGGCAGAAGGACTAATTCCCGTAGCATGGGTGAGAACACACTCCTGTGTACCGCAGGGAGCATGTTCCAGGCAAGAAAGTCTCTATCTGTGCTTATGCCTCTCGGGGCATGTGTTACAGATGGCAATGAGTTCTTAAGGTTGAACATCAAGAAGCAAGCACAGCACAAATGAGTGGGCTTCCTTGTTCTTGTTCCAGGGAGATCACCAGGTACAGGCTGATCACTACCATGAGTCTGGTCAACATGCCTAGCAGCTGCCATGCTAGGCACATGTGACACAGATGACACTTCGTGTTGATATGCAGATTAGGGCAGTGACTAAATACTGAGGAGAAAAATTCAAATCGTTGGTACCTGGACTGGTTGGTCATAATCTATTTTTTGGGTTGTAGTAATATCACACTTAATACACCGGGATTGTAGTCATTAGCTACATTGTCAGGACAATATCAATTTGTTTAACTTTTATCCATTTGTTTTCATATTTAGCTGAGGAGAATTATGTTTTAGTCATGATATTTATGATAGGTACAATAAGAGAGTTTATGCATTGTCCTGTTTGGTGCAGTATAATACCCCTAATCCTAATTTGATTGCTTTTATCAGCAAAGGTAACAGATCTCAAAATATTTATTTATGTTCAAGTGATACTGCTTCTTGATTAACAGTTGTTTCTGTAGTTAAATTTCTACATTTGGGGCCAGGGATTTAGCTCAGTGGTTCCACCACCTACCTCACAAGCGCAAGGTCCCGAGTTCGATCCCCAGTACCAAAAAAAAATTTTTTTGCATTTGTCCGACAAATATGCTATAAAATTCACTGCATTTTAATAAACTTGGAATAAATGTTTTAGAAGCAAAGATATTAAATTCTCTCATTAACATCCATGGCAGACCTTTGACCACCCAATACTGCTAGCATCCACAAGAGATAGAGTGCATATTTTTAGTCAGATAAGCCACAATTTTAAGTCTAGAGCTAGTACTTTATGCTTGGATATCTTGTCTAACTTTTAGTATCTGGGTGTTCTCAGTTGGAAAATTGGAATGTTAGCAGTCTCTACAAACTGTTATCAGATTTTGAAATAATATATCAGAAACATACAGTATTTGGCACATTGTAAATGGTGCAAAAACTGTGCTCACTCTGAACTTTGGAGATCTTTGATGCTAAATAGAATATTTGCCATTTTCACTTTGAATTCAGTGTCCCTTCGTCTGTATGTGGTTTGATAATGGACCATACTCAGGTCTGAACTTTGCACTGCAAGGAACATGTAACATTATTAATGGAAAAGCCATCAAATTTGTAGTCAGAAAACTGAATTAATGCCATTCCAATCCATTTCAGCTAGTTGTTTGCATTCTCTCCATCTCTTTTTATCTCATCTGAACAATTAAAGGTTTTTAAATCTACCTTACAGAGATACAATAAGGATTAAAGGAATTCATATCTTTTATAACTTTAATGCTATGAATTAGCTAGAGAATTAGCTAACCTTTTATTAAGGTCAGATGACATTATTTTCATGGATGACTGGTAATCTTATAAGGTCCAGACTTCAGTAAGGGAACATTTAGCTGCCAGAGGCATCTGACAGAATGGTAAATGTCACTTTAGGTAGTAGATCTGCATAGAAAAGGAATTATAATGCTTGAAATGATTAAGCTATTTCCTTTGTAAATATACCACCTTCTAACTGTAAAAATGTAGCTTTGACTAATCTTGTAAAAGTCCTGTCTTTTTCAAGTTGTAAAATTTTATTTATTAAGAAATAAATGATTTCTTAATCATATGCTAATAAGTATTTTATTAATTGTTCGCTAATAATTTACTGATTATTGACTAATAATTTATTGATCATTTACTCACAGTTTATTGCTTATTTACTAGTTAATAAATTAGTGGTAGAGGCCCTAGGGATTGAGCTCAGGGACTCTACCCCTGAGCCATATCCTTGGCAGTTTTACATTTTTATTTTGAGACAGGATCTTGCTAACTTACCCAGATAGTTTCCAACTTGCCATGCTGCTGTCTCAGCCTCCTAAAGAGCTGAGATTACAGCTGTGCACTACTGTGCCCTGCTGAATTTTTCTTACCAACAATATATTAATCAGTAAACCTAGCATTCTGGTTGAAATCTGTGGACATCCATACAGTGGATATCTGTTCATACATCTTCCTCAGCCTGCCAGTCACTGAAAACACACCTGATTGATTAAGTCCTGTAGGAGTTAGATGGTTTCAGGTCTCGGCCGGTCTTCCTCATCAGCTACTAGTGTGCCACTGAACGAATCTCAGAAACTCCCCAGGTCTTTGGTGGGAATTACAGACACTTCGCCTGTGGAAGGAATGTGACAGAGGGACGGTGCCTTAAGAAACACATACTCAGAGGCTCAGGGGTGGGGAATGAGGTGGTGGCTTGTGAGCAGGAGTAGACAGAAATCCATGAGCTAGAATTAGGACGTGACACTAATTACACAGTGGCACAAAAAACTGGTGAGACAGGAAGTGGCTAAATCGTTTCAGTGCTACTCCTCCCACCAAGCACCTTCCGGGGCTGTGGGATGGGCTTAGAGTAGGAGATTTGGGGCATTTGTCAGCTTCTTAACATTTGTTATTTGTTATGATTTTTTTTCTTCTTTTGACAAGTATCCAGCTGTACTTAACTTTTTATTCACAATTTTATTTTTTCATAAAATGGAATAAGCTGCAGGTCTTACAGATCCTGGATCCACCCTTGAATCAAACGTTTGTTTCTAGTGGAGGAAGTGGAGGAGGTCCGTACTGCAGAATTAGGAACCCACTGCTGGGAGACCAGTGAGCTGGAAATAGCGATGGAGGGGATGAACAGGAAGTCCAGAGAGAGGGCTGTGGTTAGGGAGTGGAGGTGAGAATTTTAGGAAATAACGAAGAGTGCAAATGTGTCCAAACCTGCACTCAGTAACCGCTCTGCACAGGGATATTCTAGAATGAATGGAGGGATCCAGTGCTTTCTTGCTCTCAAAGTGCCAGGAGCTTAGAAAGGCACTGGCTACACAATTCGCACTGTGGCGGGAAAGTCTGATCAGGATCTGAAAAAATAAAAATATAAAATAATTTTGAAAAACTATATAAAGCATGTCTTTAAGGAAAGAAAACTCCTTTCCTTACCTTGTGCTGTCAGTGGGTGTTTTCACTGATCCATGTAGCATTTATTTTCTTTTCTTTTTTTTTTTTTTTTTTTGGTACCGGGGATTGAACTCAGGACCTTACGCTTTCGAGGCAGGCGCCGGAACCACTGAGCTGAATCCCCGGCCCTGTAGCATTTATTTTCACCGAAAGCAAAACTGAAGTAGAGAGATGCACAGACGCAGGTCAGTGCTGTGTGCGTTCAGACCAGGTGGTCCCCAAGGGGAGTGCGCAGGGCCGCCTGCATCCGGCCCAGGGGCTCCCGCCCACTTCCCGTGGTGCCAGGAACTGACGTAAGTGCCTGAAGACAAGCGCTGTCCACGGACTTGCAGAGGTCATGCAAGGAGTGTTCAGTCCACTGACTGGCTGGTGCGTAGTAACAGTACCAGAGGTACGAGGTCTGCTGCCGTCCAGGACAGTGGTCACAGTGGAAGCGAAATATATTCCACAGGAACTCGGCTTTCAGTACTCAACAGCTTCATGTTACGAATGTTTCATTTATTACATTTCTCTGAGTTTTGAGAAGAAAGTAAGTTTCTTTCTACTTTTTTTTAAGCTACATTGGTTTTGTTCTCCCTATTCATTCCTAAATCCCTTATTAGTGTCAGTGTTTGAATTTGCTGAGGGCCTCTCTTAATCCCTTCTTTTAGAGGAAGCCCTGCTGCCAGCTACTCTTCATCTGTGGTTAGAGGGACCCCAGACACCCCGCTCGGCTGTGTGAGTTGCCACCAATCCACTTTCACAGAAGTGCAGATGTGCACAGTGGCCGACACGCTTCAACCTTTGTTACTTTCCTAACTGAAATTTTGTGCTCCTCTCTCTGCGTTCAACCAGTCCCGGCACCACGGCCTCCTTTCTGTCCAGGCGTGGTGGGGCATCTGTCATCCCAGCACTCTGGGAGGCTGAGGAAGGAACATCCCAAGTTTGAGCCCAGCCTGGCAATTTAAAGATATGGTGAGACCTTGCCTCAAAATGAAAAATGAAAAAGGGCCGGGGATGCCGCTCAGTGTGAAGGCCTTGGGTTTAATCACCAGTAGCACGCGCACGTGCACACACACGTGCACACACACACACACACACACACAATCTTCAAAAAGGTAAAAGCAAGGAAAGTAATTAGGAGCTTAGGAGCCCAGGTGTAAGACATGGCTGTTTGGAACAGCGTGGGAACAGGGCAGACAGTAGGTGTGCTGAGAGGTGGGTACTGTGAGTGTATACAATGCATACTAACGTTCGGCCCATGAGAGCCACTTCAGCACTCTCAGTCACTTGTTCCTGAACACAGTTTTCACATTTGCTAAGCCAGTAAGTTTTTAAAACTTAAATCTGTGCATATGATAATAAACCTTCAGAGCATTTGGCATCCAAGTTTTATATCTTGTTTTCAGTTACCACTATACATCCATACTCTTTAAATGTATATGTGTAGATAGTAGTTCAGTATTTTATATTCTCACCCTCGGCTAGTCACACCTCAGTAGGACAGAAGATAGCCAAGAGCCACACGTGTTAATACTTATGAAGAAAGCTCACTGTGTAAGACTTCCTTATTTGAGGAAATTATGCCTCAGTCAATGTTGCTTCAAGTATTTAGGGAAAACAAAAACGAAGTTTCTCTCAGTGTTTTACAGTCCCTAGAGAGCTTGCATTAATGAGCTGTAGAAGTGGATACAGGACTGTACTGATTTGAAGAACCTGACGCTCAACAAGCCCATTTTTTTTATCATGATAGCATTTTCTGAAAATTGCATTTAATGTAAAAATGTCAAATCAGTTGCTATGCTGTATTTAATATAAAAATGTCGAATCATTTGCTATGCTGTATTCCTATTTTCCTAACCATTTTCCTGGCTTTCAGTATAGCTCTGATTGCTTCTGTTACGAAATATGCACCATGGGCATAGAAAGCTGGGAGCTCCTGGGGGAGGAAAGCTAGCGTCCCACTGACCCAAGGCCGGGCCAGGTGAAGGTTCCTCAGTCCGAAGAGGGGCGGGGTCACGTGAGCGTGACGTCACCGGCCTTCCGCCCACCCAGGTCTCTGTGCGCCCTGCCGAGGGCCAGCCTGGCCGGACGGGGTCACACGTGGCTGATGGCAGGGCCATCTCCAACGCGTGCTGATTAAGCATGTGTGGGCCTAGGGTGGTCAGTTTTATCTTGGCTGAATACATTAATTGATCGTGATTATGCAATTAAATCTAAGGTGTTAGCTGTCAAAGTAGTCAAAAACGTATAATTCTTCTGCATAACTTAATCATAAAAGAACCTTTAAATGTTAGTATTTCTGAATTTATATAGCAAATAAAAAGACCTTGGTTTTTGACCTATCATGAAATGTGATTTCAGAAACCAAGATTTTTTTAATCTGTAAAAATAGGCATGTATACCTATCCTATCATTTTTATTAGATTGCTCTGAGGATAAAATGAGACAAGGTGTACGAAATTACTTTGTTACTGGCTTTTATTAAGTGTCATATAGGGGCTCTTTATTGATATACAGCATGAACATGAATGAAATGGTCCTAATTTCATTTCTTTTATCCAAAGAGATTATATATATATATGTGTATATATATATATATATATATATATCCTATAACTCACCTAGCATTGTATTTTGATTATTTTTATAGTTGTAATCATGTTTGCTTATGAGTTAGGGAAATTGGTTCTCTACATGAATTTTAGAGAGCTGAAGGGAAAGTAGTTGAATCTGTTTGACAGATATGCTGTTAAACTATTTTCTTCTTAGACAATTCTCATTTTTCAGTGGAAAGTCAATTATTGTACAATGCTGTATACACTATAATATTGATTGATAGCATTTGAAAATTAAATTCTATTCACTAAATGTGATTGAGAAGTTTGCAAATGGAATCCAACCATCACATACCATTTATTATTTATTGCACATCTATCAAACCAAAGAGGATTATTTGCTAAATCTTATTTGTGATTTAAAGGGCAGAATATTGCCACTTCTTATGATTTAGCTTGACATAAAATTTGTTCTATTTCTTTAAAAATTCAGGATGATAAAATGGTTACTGATATTTTTTATTGCTTGCAATGGCTTCCTCATGTTACTTATATCTCTTGATACTAATAATGAGGAATGAAATTATGCACTAAAAGTGAGCCTTTTGACTTTACTGTTCATAATAATTGTAGTATCATTGGCTGCAGTATAGCAAGATTTAAAAAAATGTTCCTCATCGTTGCTTTTATGACTTGTTATGCTGACAATGCATATGTTGTGAAGCAACTACCAAAACTGAGCTACTTGACATACCCCTTCTATAGCCTTTGTTTATTGGTGAGAACATTTATGACCTATGCTCTTAGCAAATCTTAAGTACACAGTACATGGTTACTAACAGTGTTCAACATGAGCACTACACCTGCAGAACTTATCTTCACACTGAAAGGTTATATTTGGTTTTTGTTTTATCTGGGAGGTGTTTGTTTTTGTTGTTTTGTATTGATCTTTGGTGTTGTGTGGGGTTTGTTTTGTTGTTGCTGTTATTTGTTGAGTTTTTGGTTTTGGGGGGGGGGTTTGGTGGTGGTGATGGTGGTTTCTGTTTTTCAGTACTGAGCCTTCACACTGAGCTATATTCTCAGACTTTCTTTACTTTTTATTTTGAGACAAAGTCTTGATAAATTGCTAAATTTTAGAGGCTGGGCCTGAATTTACAATCCTCCTGCTTCAGCCTCCCAGAGTGCTAGGATTGCAGGTGTGCACCCTGTGTCCAGCTTAAAGGTCTCTACATTTTGGTGAGTATCCCCCACTGCCCATCCCTCAGCCCTGGAAACCACCATCTGCCCTATACTCTGCCTCTGGGAGAGCATTTTTCTAGGTTCCACACATAAGTAAGATCATACAGTATTTGTTCCCCTCTGACTTATTTCATTTAGAATAATGCCATCAAGTTTCATTTCAGTTGCTGCAAGTAGCAAGATTTCTTTGATTTTATTGCTGTATATATCACAATTTTTAGCCACTAATCTGAGAGCATTCAAATAGCTGTCTCCATGACTTGGCTGTGGCTGTAACACTGTGATGAGCAGGAAACTTTATCTCCTCTAGCTATGTACCCAGAAGTGGGATTGCTCACTGATGATATTATAGTTCTATTTTTTCCTTTTTTTGAAGAACCTCCATTCTGTTCTCCTTAATGGCTGTACTAATGTAGGTTCTCACCAACACTTTATAACCATCCCTTGTTCTCTACATCCTTGGGGACACTCAGTTAACTTTTGGAGAAGGAGTGAGGAGTTGTTCCATTGGGGCTTTGATTTGCTTTTCCCTGATAATGAGTGTTGCTGGCCAGCTTTTCAGGAACCCATCGTCCACTTGTCTGTGTACTTTGAGAACATGTGTATTGTGGTTCTTTGCCATCTTTTAAATCAAGTTATTTGTTCCATTCCATTTGTGCTCATGAGTCTTACGACTTTCTTCTATACATTAGATCACAGCCTGTTAAATGTAGGGTTTGCACAACTTTTTTCCCATTTGCCGCTTGCGCCTTTGCTGTGAAGATGCTTTTTACTTTGGGATAGCTCTGCTTCTTCATTTTGTCACTGCTGCTGCTGCTTGTACTTTTGGTGTAATAATGATAATAATAAAACCCCACCATTGCCAAGGTTAACATCATGGCATTTTTCCTATGTCTCTGAGGAGTATCATGGTTTCAGACTTTATGTTTAATTCATTTTAAGTTGATTTTTGTGAGTTTAAGGAAAGAGTCATGCTGTTTTCTTTTTCCACATTCCCAACACCATTGATTAACACACTATACTTGGCCTGTTTTTCTTCCCAAAAGAGGGTTGACTGGATTTTTCTGGCTTATTCCTGGGCACTTGATTCTGGCTCCCTGGCCTGTGTGTTGTTGTGCTACCATCGTACCAGTTGGAGGACTGCAGCTTGCAATGTGGTCTGAAATACCAGTGCAGACTCCAGCTGTGTTCTTCTCAAAATTGTGTTGACTATTTGGGGTCTTTTCGATTCCATATGAATGTTGGGGATATTGGTTCTATTTCTTTGAAAAACATCTTGGAGTATTTGTAGGGGTTGCATTCAACCTATAAATCACTTGCAGTGGTTTGGGAATTTAAAAAATATTAATTCTTTCAAAGAATGACAAGGGGCATTCTGTCTTTTTCAGCACAGAAAAACACTCGGTTAAATTTCTACCCTGGTATTTCATTTTTGTACCTACTGTAAATAGGATATTTTTATTATGTCTTTTTCAGATAGTTCATTGCTAGTGTATAGAAAAACAACTGATTTTGGTATGCTGATTTTATGTTCTACAACTCTACTGAACTTCTTTATTTCATCAGTATTTTAATGGAATCTTGGGATTTTGTAAATATAAAATTGAGTCATCTGAAAACAGAGACCATTTTCCTTCTTTCCACTATGGATGCTATAGTAATTATTACCCATCCCAGCTAGGGCTTCCACGCTCTGTTTAATAAATGAGTGAGAGTGATTGTCCATATGGTAAAGAAAAAAATCTTTCATGCCATCACCATAGAGCATCAGTCAGCAGTGGGGTGTCCTGCTTGACTTTCATGGTTGCTTATTATTTTGAGGTATATTCCTCACATGCTCAGTTTGTTGAGAGTTTTTACTGTGAAAATCAAACGTTGCATTTTATCTGGTGTGTTGTCTGCCCTGTGGAGAGGATCTTGCCATTTCTCCCCCTCATCGTGCCCAGGTGTGGACCACGCTTACTGGTTTATGGATGTCGATGGGCCTCACATCCCCAGGGCCCATCCTACTTGTTTGTGGTGGATACAACTTTCACTGTGCTACTGAATTTGGTTTGCTAGATTTTGCTGAAGGTTTTATATTTATGTTCTTCAGGGATATTGGCCAATAATTCCCTTTTCTTGTATTGTTCTTGTCTGGATTTAGATTTGGAATAAAACTGGCCTTTTAAAATGAGTATGGAAGTGTTCCTTCCTCTTCAATTAAAATGTAAAAATTTTATTAAACTTTTATGTAGAGCATATGACTGCTTGTAATATTGCTAGGTAAGAGTACTTGTGATATTTGGTTGCAATAAGACATCCCTACTCTTTTGTCAAAAAAGTCATTTTATTATCCTATTGGTTAAGTAAATTTGAATTTTTCTTTTACTTTGAATTTTTACTTTTAAACTATGATTGGGAGTTTTTTTGTCATAAGTTTCCTTTTCAGAAACATAATTCCCTTTTTGCCTCATGTATGCATAATTTAAAGTTACATCTCAGTAATGTAAGCAAAGAGCTATGCATTTGATCTGTCAAATAATGTTATAAGATGGAATTTAAATTATCCGTCCACATCAGCCTTTAGGGATGACAAAGATTTTGCCACTGAGTCAAACAGGGCTCATTTCTTAGGAAATGATTTTCTTAGAATATAGTGAGAATATTTTGTGTTAAAATATATTACTTATGCAGTGGGGTACACTGAAGTAGCATTTTAAAAAGAATGTTTCATAATATATGCATGCCAAGCATATTAAAAACATAACTGAAGCAGAATTTTTAAGATTTCAGTAATGATACTTAAAGCCAAGAAGCAACTAGGCCGAGAATTTTGCTCAGTGGTTTCTCCGCCGGCTGCGCAAGCGCAAGGATCCGAGTTCGATCCCCGGTACCAAAAAAGCAGCCCAGAAGCAACGGTTAGATGAGCATTTTTCAGGCACAAATGGATCATTTCTGTTAGCTTCCTGTGTCTGTCCAATTAACTCTGTGTTTCCATATAATCCATATATTGTTAGTTTAATCTGTTCACATTAGCTAGCCATGGTGTTCTTCAGATTTGATAGTGTTAATTTCTTAATATCATTTCTTAGCAAGTCCGAAAATGTCTCTTCCAGACATTTTATCATAAAATGGGAAATTAAACTAAGAAACGGTTGTTCATTTATGAGTTGCAACCTACTGTAATTGAGACGATGGCGCTGCACACAGGAAACTCTTCTCTGGGGTCAGAGAAATGATGATGCACCCACCCGCCCTGACTTGGTCTGTCTCAAAAAGACAGCGATTCCAAGTGCGCTCGGCTGTGGCCACACAGTGATGTCGGCATCTGTTCCAGTCCTTCCAGAAAACATGCGAGTGTAACACTAGATTATTTTCCTAATCCTTGTGAACAGAAACAATTCTATTATGATAATTTTTCAAGTTCGACAACAGATTATAGCTAATTATGTTCTGGTGTTCACCTTACCCGAGGCAGAACTTGCAGCACTCATACCGGAGGGGAGGGGAGGAAACACGTTACTCTTTTTTTTTTTTTTTTTGATACCGGGGATCGAACTTGGGTCCTTGGGCCTGTGAGGCAGGCGGCGGAACCACTGAGCTAAATCCCCGGCCCGGAAACAGGTTATTCTTCGGCTGGGAATCAAGTGAGATCAGCTCCAATCCTGCCTTCACCTGGGCCGGAAACTGTTTCCCGCCCACCCGTGCAGGCTCCGTGAGGCCTCACACTGCGGGACGCGGGCGCGGGGCAGGCGCGGCCGGCCCCTCACCCACGCAGGGAAGGCGGTGCGAACGCCACGCACTTCCGGAGCCCAGCTGGCCCAGAAATTTGAAAGAGTGTATACCGATAAAATGCAGACTAAGAATTCCAATGAGTTTGATCTACTTTCTTCACACTATGAAGAGAAGAAGCTGAGACATATCACGTATTTTAAAAATATACAGTTTAATGGAATAAAATCTTGACATTTTAGATTTATTTTGTTTTTCTTTTTGAAACTGATTTTATTGGTCCACTTTAATGTACGTAGTGATTACCTTGATCATAGGGGATTTGTACCTGTACACGACATATCTCGATTCTGCTTTTTCCCCCAACCCCTTCTCCTCCCTTCAACCCCGCTTTCCCTCCTTACTTACAAAAACTTTGTTTCTGTTTCCCCCCTTCTATTGATTTTTTCTTTTCCCTTTCCTTTCCCCCTCCCACCTTGCGTGTTCTCCTCCCATTTGAACATTTTCTTCCTATTTCCCCATATCTGCTATGTATTTTGGTCCTTATTTACCCTTTTGGTTTTGCACACCAGAGAAACGATGGATATTTGTATGTCTGATTTATTTCACATAGCAGCATGATCTCACGTCCATTTACCTAGAAATGTCTCAAGTTTATCCTTCTTTATGCCAGAGTATTGCTCCATTGTATAAAAAACCCAAATCTTTATCCATTCATCGGTTGATGGGCATTTGGGCTGTTTCCAAGATTTAGCTATTACAGCTTGTGCTGCTATAAACATGGGTGTGCATATATCACTATGATATGATACTTTTAATTCTTTTAGGAAGATACCAACAAGGGGAACAGCTGGATGAAATGGAACCTCTAGTTTTAGTTTTTTGAGGTATCTCCACACTGATTTCCACAGTGGTTGCATCAGTCTACACTCCACCAACAATGGAGAAGGGTTCCTTTCTTCCACAGCCTGGCCAGCACATTTATTGGTTGATTTCTTGATAATAGCCATTCTTTCTGGAGTGAGATGGAATCTCAGCATTGTTTTAATTTGCATTTTACAAATGATCAGTGATGTTGAACATTTTTTCATATATTTATTTGCTATTCATACTTCTTCATATGAGGAGTGTCTATTCATTTCACCTGTCCAATTTTGGATTGAGATTTTAAATTTGAGGAATCTGATTTTTGGAATTCTTTATATATTCTAGATATGAGTCCTTTGTCTGAGGAACAGCTGGCAAAATTTTTTTCCAACTCTGGGTTGTTTCTTCACTGTGTTGGTGGTTTCCTTTGCTATGCAAAAGCTTTTTAATATGATGAAATCCCATTTGTTGGTTATTTGTAATATGTCCTCTGCAACTGGGTTTTCTTCACAGAGCTTTTGCCTACATCAATGTCTTCAAGTGTTCTACCTATCCTATCTTCCATCAGATTTGGTGTTTTTGTTTTAATATTTAAATCTTTGATCCATTTGGATTTTACTTTAGTACATAGGGATAGACATGGGCTAGTTTTAATCTTCAGCATGTGGAAAGCCACTTTTCCCAGCACCATTTATTGAAGAGGCTATCTTTCTTCCAGTGAAGATGTTTGGACCCTTTGTCAAAGATAAGGTGGCTGAGTGTGTTTGGAGTTGCTTCTACATCTTTGAATCTGTTCCAGTGATCCCTAGGTCTTTTTTTTTTTTTTGCCAGTACCATGCTCTTTTAATCACTGTAGCTTTGTAGTATAATTTCAGGTCAGGTATTGTGATACCTCCTGCCTTGCCTTTGTTGCCCAGAAATGCTATTGCTATTATAGGTCTCTTCTGGTTCCAAATAAATTTAGGATCGTTTTGTCTAATTCTGTGAAGTATGCTGTTGGTGTTTTGATAAGGACTGCATTATATCTGTATAACAATTTTGGAAGTATGGCCATTTTCACTATATTGGTTCTTCCTACCCAAGAACGGGGATATCTTTCCATTGTCTGATATCCACTTCCACCTCCTTTTTCAGAGTGCTATAGTTTTCAATGTAAAGTTCCTTTATTTGCTTTGTTAGACTGACTCCTAAGTCTTTCATTTTTTTGATGTTGAAGAAAAAAATAAAAAGGCTGGGATGTAAACATTTCAAAAATTTCTCATACAAACCTTCAGCTCCAAAGTTACATTTCCATAAGTCCTAAACCAGCGGATGTATATCTTCTTCCATCATAGCCCCCGGGTTCTCCCCATCACAGAGTGAAGTAAACTCAAGCGGTCATCAAGCAGTAAAATGTACCTGGAGGTCCCAGAGTGGGGTACCCACCGAGCTCAGGCACGCGGCAGCTGGTTAAGGACCAAACAAAGTAGGAGCACGCTGGTGATGGTCAAGACAAAGTACCAACTACATAAGCATTCTTAGATGTTGTGTGTATCGAGAGTCTGTCGTTTAAGGTTTGTTTGAGCTTTTACTTATGAATACCATAAGTAAAAAATAATAGCAATATTGAAAACATAGTAAAGTTGTGATGATATTACTTTCCAACAAAATACTGTCCAACTTTTAGGTTATGTATTTGCAGATGAATTTCTCCAGAAAAACATACTGGAGTTTTTAATGTCTCATCATCCACATTGATTGTTTCCTTGTCTTGTGAATAGGCAGGATACTATTTAAATACTATTTTTTGGCCTTAATCTTTTATTTTCTTCCTTCATTCTTTTATCCCTTCCTTTTGCTTATTTTTTCTTTTTCCTTTCTCACTTTTACATTAATGTGTAGATAGCTCAAATTTATAAATTATAAAAATGTGTTTTTTAAAAAATAAAATTTACCTCTATGTGTATTTCTCATTCATGAATGCTGCTCAACATGAAAGTGAGTAATTACATAATCGGTGTAGGTGATGTACAGGGTTCCCCAAGCCCACCTGCAAGGGATGTTGCTTCTTAATTCGTTTTATAGAAGGCTCCCGAGTGATTGTCTACATTTAGGAAATTAATATTAGACCTGGCTAATATGAATGTGAAAAAGATGTAAAACAAATCGCAAAAAATTGTTTGTTTTTGTGTTTATGTATACTTTATTTAGTTAGTTTACTTAGGGTTAGGCTTTTCTTTTCTTTTTCAGACCACCCTCTGCCTCACATCTTCACATCCTACCACACCAGCCTTGTGGGTTCATGCAAGATCCTTTGTTGTTTTGTGTATTTTTACTCATTCGTTCATTCATTCATTCACTCATTCATTTTCTTCTATTTTCTCTCAGTTCCTTCTTCTCTTCTTGGGCAACCAATATAATCTATCTGATGCCTATTATTTATATGTAAGATACATTTTATTTTATGTGCATATTGTGCGAATCTACATAAACGGCATTTCCCAAAGGTCACATCCTGTTCCTCACCTGCCATGGATTTTGAGCTGGATCTACCTGTGTGACCCCGATGTCATCTGTTTCCTCCACCTTCGGCCAAGGATTTCCATCATCAGCGTCTCTACACTCCCAGTGGCCATTTCTCCTGATTCTTCCACAAATACATGCCCAAGAAGAGAAGATCTGGTGTACATGTGTTTGATTTAACTGGTTTCTGCCAGACTGCCCTCTAGAAGACTTGCATTCCCTTGGCTGTCATTAGGGCACTTACAGCTGTATAAACTGCAAGCGGGCTGCTGTTTCGCCTGCTCCTCCTGAGGCAGTCATGGCACCCCACGCACAGCATGGGAATAGTGGAAATAACCACGTAGTGAGTCTTACCTCCTTTGGGGAGGTCAGAGTCTTCTGATCCCAGTCCGACCAACACACGGCTTTTCCTGACCTTCAGACTCTTTCCAATATGATGACAGTTAAGTGACAGGTCCTTCTTGCTTTCCTCTGTGCTTTCTAATCACACTGAATCTGGACTTTTCTTGATGTATCTACAACAGTGCTGGACTTTCTCCTCTGTGAATTGCCTTTTTTTACTAATTGCAAAACTATTTTTAATTTTTCCACAAAAGTACAGTATCTTTTTATTAATTTTTATGACAGCAACCGAAATTAGACATAAACAAAGAGGATTGTTTAATGTATGCCACATACCATGTGCTAGAAAAATACTTGTAAAAAGAATTAAATGAAAAAGTCTCATAAGCTTTGGTGTTATATATGTTTGAATATACAGTAAACTGAATAATTTTAATTAATATGTTGTTTTTGATGTAATGGCAAACATTAAATATAGATCAAGGAATAATATAACAAAAATTTTGCACTATAAAGATAATAATGACTTTTGCCAGTCTGAAGAGCATTCAAAATCAGCCCCAGAAGTTCAGAAAACATACATAAAAATGTCTTATGTTGGTTGTTTTTTAAAACTTCTATAATGACCTAATAACCTGATAACTGATTTTGGGTTTTTTTGTCGTTATTGTTATTGTAGTATTGTTTTAGGTTGTTTTATAATATTTTATTTGTATGTTCCTAACCTCCTAGCTTTGAGATTTAAAAAGCAAATCCTATCATGACTGTTGTGCACTTGGCAAAAGTCTAGATTGTGTGTTAGTTTCTGAGAGGAACTATCCCTATAGGTACTGTACAGGAACATGACTGATGGTCATCTGTGTTGTCTCAGACTTGAAAAATTGTTTAATAGGCATCTGGGTATAATTTAAATGTTAGGAAAATATAAAATCGTACTCACAATGAGTAAACATCATCATTCCTGTCTATACGATCTTTTAGGTAATTTCTCTAAAGGACAGCCAGTATCAAATACTATTTTAATTTGAAAAAATATTTACATTTTTTAAAATTATAAAATGTTAGTTTTTTAAATTTCAAAGTATAATAAAAATTTTGCATGCATTTTATATTGTTTTATAGGATTTTATAATTAATAAATACATTTCAAGTATTTTGAAGTCAGAGAGTATAATGCTTCCTATTTTATTCATTTTGCTCCAAATGGCCTTGGCTATTCAAGGTATTTCATAGTTCCATATGAATTTTAGGATTGTTTTTTCCCAGTTCTGTGAACACTGTGATTCTTATTTTGATTCAGATTGCATTGAATCTGTCAGTGGCCTTGGATAGTTTGGATGTTCTTATAATACTGATTCTTGAAATCTATCACATGAAATTTCTTTTCATTTTTTGATATCCTGTTCAATTTCTTTCATAAACGTTTTATAATTTTCATCTACATGTCTCCTACCTCTTTGGGTAAATGTATTCCTACCTATTTTTGGAAGCTCTTTTAAATGGGTTTGCTTTCTTGATATCTAATTCACTTAATTCACTATTGGCATAGACTAATGCTACTATTTTTTTATATTGACTTTGTGTCCTGCAACTTTGATGAATTTATTAGTCCTAAGTTTTTTATAGTCTTTGGGAGCTTTCGATATATAAGATCACGTAATCTGCAAACAGTGAGACTCTGTTTCTTCCCAGTTTAGATGACTTTTGTTCCTTCCTTGGCTGTTCCGAGCAGGTCTTCTAGTACTGTGTTTAATGAAGATGGTGAAGTGGGCGTGCCTGTCTTTTTCCAGGTTTAGAAAATATTCAGCTTTTCTCATTTGGTACCTTGGCTTTTATTATGTTGAGGGAAATTCCCTCTGTACCTAGCCTGTTCTCCATTTTTATCATGAAAGGATATTAAACATTATCACATGTCCTTTCCTTCATTCTGCTGATGTGTTGTATCAAATGTATTACTTATGAAATTCATGGCATTTAATTCATACAACTTGCAGAATCACTTTATAAAGTAAATACAGAGTGGTCTGTACATTCCATTCGTGATTTAGTTTCGTTCTTACAGGATGTGTAGCAAACTAGTGAGAAGTATGAAAGAACTCTGGAAGTGGTGATGTTTCCTTCGGATCTCATCAGACCTGAGGCAGGGGAAAGGTCAGGTTCTGTGGCAGCCCTGTGCCCTCCACCTCATGAGATGGGGCCGTGTGGTTCCAGGCCTCAGACATGCGTCTAGAGGGATCCTGGTCTCTGCATAATTTTTCAGCAATTTTTAAAGTAATACTAAGTAGTTTTTCTCTTATGATTAGGTGCATTTTTCATTTCATTGGATCTTTTTTTCAACTTGCCCTTTATTTTGAGAATAAAAATTTGAACAGATAGATTCACAGAAAAAGAATGAAAATCTGTGACTATTTCTTTGCAAAGAATGTGCTCCTGAAGAAAAGTGACAATGCAATTTCTGAATTATAACAGCATTAATTTGTTTTAATTCAAAATCATCTGTGTATAAATGTACTTTTTCCCTTGACCTTAAAAAATAGTGCTTTATTTTCTTCTTTCAGTGTGCTGTAGTTTTCTTTAGCGGTATTGTCATTGTTTGTTACATAATTTTCTCATTTTATGTGTACAACAGCCTGGGATGGTTGAAATAAACCCTAAGGCCACCTGGAGATAACATTTTCATGGAGTAAGTTATGGAAAAGTCATTTTCTGTTTGTGTTCCTCTCAGCCTTTTGATGGAGCTTTTCTGGAGTTTCGCTGCAGTGTAAATGCATTTCCCTCCCTGGATTGCGACTGGCAATATGCTTTCCAGTGTGTTTCCTTGAAGACCCCTCATGCCGTGTTTAGAATTTCCCACTGAACTCAGTGGTGAGCAATAGGGAATTTCCACATAGGGTGAAGCTCATGGAAAACCTAATTGTTGAGTAATTATTAATGTTTCTTAAATTATACCATAGTTATATGGACTTTTCCCAAATAAAGCTATTCATATTCACAAATATTTTGGCACTGAATTGGATGAAACCATCTATTTTTATCCAGATCACATAGGCAGATCTTAGGACCACGAAAGTCATGCCAAACATACATCCTTAAATTATCTTGAAGCTCATAAAATGGACCAAAGAGACCAGATATATAATATGTAAATATTGTTTCACTGCTTTATTTTTGTATAAAACTGTCTCTTTAGATAGAGAGGAAAATGAGCCCAGCTACATACTTTACAGGACTCAGAACAAGGTAAAAATGAGGGTGCTTTGTTCAGACATTATTAAAAATGCCAACATGGCAACAGCACAGCCAGCCCAGAGCCACGTGCACATGGGGCCTTGTGCTCTTCCTGCAGCTCCCTCTGTCCTGTTCAGGAATGTCTGGCGTGCAGTGAGAGAAGAGCTCAGAATGCATTCCATTTAATCTGGACATACTTAAGGTGTTGCAGTTTCTAGAGGGAAGCTTCACCAGGAAATCTTGATGACGTTTTTCTGTGATTCCCATTCCATGCTAAAATGTGGAAGCTCACATTCTTCCAAAAGCTTGCTCTCTCAGAGAGAATTCTACTGGAAGTGATAATGATCATGTTTTCTCTATACAAAATTGGTCTAAGCAGTATATATTCAGTGCTGTTTTCTTTATAGAAGTGTGAACAGAATGCATGCGTTTGATAATATTTAATGGGTTTCCAAAAGCAAAAGTTTGCATGTTGTATTAAATATAGTCTGTGTGCTCAGGTAAGTTGATGAGATCACCCTGGTAATGTTCCAGAGAACTTGGAATGGATGTTCTCCGAAACGGTGTGCTGAGCTGGCTTTTAAGTGCAGAGATGTCTCCTATTTCCTGTGACCCCAGATCAGAGAACACACACACACACACACACACACACACACACACACACACACACACACACCACACTTTTGGCTTTATTCTCCAATTTGTCTTTATAGGGATGCAAGTACTGGAGTGGAATGGAATCCCCTTAACTTCTAAAACATATGAAGAAGTACAGAGCATCATTAGTCAGCAGAGTGGGGAAGCAGAAATATGTGTAAGACTGTGAGTTTTTCCCCATCTTTCTGTTTCCATTTTTTGGCTATTCATGGCTCTTTTAATTTAAAATTGTTAAGGTGGAACCTTTGCCAGGCAGCAAGTGCTTCAGTGATTAGAGAATGAAGTGAATACAAGGTTTATAGATTTCTTGTGTTCAGAATCAAAGCCTAAGTAAAGCATAGACAGAATTCAGCTTAGTTTCTAAATACGTCAATTGCTGTCTCTCTTTTCATGCGTTTATTGAAACATGCTTCATTTAAATGAAAGCCTGAACCCATTTAGATTTCATGGACGTGTAGAGTATTTCAAAATAAACTTACATTTAATCCATAAAGATTTCACCTTAAATGATCATTTTTATCAGCTCTGACTTTTAGCAGCATTGTAAATAATACTGGGATACAAGGGTGAGCATGCTTTGGAGCTGCTTTAATCATAACCACTTCTCATTTACTACTGAAAACAAACAGGGTAGTTGGAAGGAAGTGCTTTGTCTCAGGCTTCCTCGATTTCTAATGTTTTGTCTTGATTTTTAGGGATCTCAACATGCTCTCAGATTCTGAAAATCTCCAGCACATGGAACTCCATGAGCCACCCAAAGCCGGTAGGTAGATGCATCTACTTCCAACCATGGATGAAGAGCCACACCAGACATGGTTTGGAGCAGAGGCAGCTGTCAATTAAGATGCAGACATAAACACAGACACAGAGAAGGGAATAGATTTGTAGGTGTTTATATAACTGTGGACAGAATGAAAAGTATTGTAGCTATATTGTAGCATTCTGAGGAAACATATTTGTGTGTTAGACTTGATAAGAAATTCGTATTAAGTCCTTGCTGTGTAAGTTCACAGTTTTAGTTCTTTAGATATAAATTCATCCTGTGAAAGTGATCCAGTGTTACATATTTTTAGTTAATACTTGTTTGCTTTCAGGATAAGAATGCTTTTGTTTTTGTGGGGTGGGTGTGGGTGCTGGGGATAAACCCAGGGCCCTGTGGGTGCCAGGCTAATGCTTTGTCTCTGAGCTGGATCCCAACCTGTAACTCAGTTCTGAAATTTTATTCCTGTACTTTTTGATAGCCTTTTCATAATAAATAAAAATCAACACGTGAGTTCATAAGTTTAGGATGAAAAGACGTAAACCTTTCTTAGATAACAAATACAATCTACACATTTTAAATGTGTAAGATTTTAAATGCTACTTTTCCCCTTGTTTCGCTTTTGTTGAACACTTCCTATGCCAACATGACAATTCTAGAGCCTGGGTCACTGCATTCAACAGAATAGACCAGGTCCTAGCAGGACTTCAACCGCCGTGCAGAAGTGCATGGGTTCCGGGCTTTCCCTGTAGGGAAGGAAGGAGCTACGTGAGGTGCAGGGGCCAAGCAGGCTGTCACACAGATGCCTTCCTGGGGGTGAACGGGATTTTGCACCCTCACACAGTTCTCCACTGAATGATAGAAGCGTTTTTCCGAAGACACAATAGGAACTACAGGCCCCTGTACTTCAGCATCATATCCCTGCTCTCTGGCCTCCCCTCCCTTCGAAATGAATCCTGAAGTTGATCTGAGCATGGAGCTTAGTTTATCGGTGACATTTCGTCTCTGTCACCCAGAACTCCGGCGAGTTCCTGGTGTCAGGACCCGGATATGCAGCGTGTCCGCCTTTCCTCTCGTTGCAGTGGATAAAGCCAAGTCCCCAGGGGTGGACCCCAAGCAGTTGGCCGCTGAGCTGCAGAAGGTCTCGCTGCAGCAGTCCCCACTGGTGCTGGCGTCCGTCGTGGAGAAGGGGTCGCACGGTCACTCGGGGCCGGCCTCCGCGGGGTCCAGTTCCGTCCCCAGCCCGGGCCAGCCAGGGTCGCCATCCGTGAGCAAAAAGAAACACAGCAGCAGCAAGGTGAGATGAGCTCCCTTCACCTCTGAGCGCCTTGCGTTCGGGCTCTGCACTCAGGCCAGGAGATGGGAAATAAACAAACACTTTCTCCAGTGTTTGGCTTGTGATTTCTCATTTCCTAACGACCTAGTGGGACAAGCACCGTTTTTCTTCTTTTGACTGTGTAACTGATCAAGATGTACAGGATGATGTATTACAACAGTTTTTAAAATATTTCAGTAGTTATCATTATGAGGAGTTTGAAAAATGTGTCTGCTATTTCCTATTTTCTGGTTATTTTTCTTGGTTGTGGCTTGAATCTGAGCTTTTTTGTGTATCAAACACTAGCTTTGTGTCTTTTTGAAGAGACACATGTCACATTAGATATTATAATTTAAGTAAAAAGAAAAGAAAAAGATACACAGTGAACTTAGGGCAATAAAAAACAAGGAAATCCAGTAACACATTATTGCCATTTTGCATCCTATTCCCAACTCAATACTAATAAATTTCTTTCTTCGTACACACCTTCACGTGAAACAATTGTTTCCATTATGTTGAAGATGCTGGTAATTAAAAAGGGACATGGGATTGATTTTTAATCTTAGAAAAGCAGATGCCAATGAGACAATTTGTAAATTGTGTGACTGTGTGGCTCTCCTGGCAGGATGAGATCCCTGCTCTCTGTTTAGCTGTCTCAGCCCTGTCTCTGCTAGGCCTCTATTCTGCCCACCCGAAGGCCCTGCCACTTACTTTTCCTGGGAGGTTGTCAGAGTGAGCCTAAGTTGTCATGTGGGGAGACCCCTGTTTACTAGGGTGTCTTGCTCCCTGCTGTTTACCACACCCACCTTCTGCTGCCATTTCCATTTCAGGGGTCCTGGTCTAACCCAAGACACAAAGGTAGGAAAATCCCGTCCCTCCATACTGCGAAGACCAGTGGTTCTTACAGAAAGTGTGTTCCCAGTCCAGCAATGCCAGCTTATCTGGGGACTGGTTTCTTGTTTTCCTCCACACCCTCCTGAGCACGTAGGTGAAGGGCTTGCATGGAAGAGTAGCAAAATAAATATTTGTGCATGAAGACATCACTGATCACCTGCAAGCCTCCATACTGTTATGGGAGTGCAAACTTGGTTGGATGTAATCTGTTAACTTTTTGGGCAACATTAAGAAAATGATATTAACAGGTTTATGATGTACAGTAATGTATTTCTAGGCCAAGAATGTGTCGCCATGTAGTTTTACAGTATTTTTGCTAAAATACAAAATTACAGTGCTACACTGTGAAGTAGAAAATAATTTGCCCCAGGCCATGCCTCGAGTCATCTTTCTTATACTAAAATGATTGCTTATAAATAACACTAATTAATTACTACTCTGTCGTAATAGTAGGTAGGTAAAATATGAATCTAAACAATCTAAACAAATATTGAAAGCATGCAGACTGGTAGTTTGCAAAGTGTCTCACAGATGCTCTTCTTTCACCTTTTATAATTTAAAAAATCCATAAAACATGTTCATGATGGAGCCGGACAATTAAAAATGATCCAGAAGTTTATTCTCCTCATTAAAAGTTGGTACATTTACATGACCACATGCCAAAGGTGCTACTATTCTCAAAAACAAATCAAAATGAAATAATTTACCAATAATTTCCTTCTGCTTTCTTTGGGAGGAGAAGCCTTATTCTTGAATTTCCCTCTTATTTATTCCTTGACAGTCATGCATTAAGATACAAAGATTCCTTTTGTTGGAAATCTTCGAACTCTCTCTTACAGTCATTTTGAGATACTTGCTATTGTTTATCAACTGGCATCTCTCCACTGTGCTGCAGAGCCAGACTCTGTTTCTGCTCTCTGCTGCATTTCCATTTCCTTGCCCGCTTCTCTCTGTCGCCCTCCTGGGCTCCGGGTCTCTTCTGCACACTGCTCTGCTCCACTCCACGAGACCAACTTCACTGCCTTCCATATGTGAATGAGACCTGCATCATTTGTCTTTCTGTGCCTAGCTAAATGCCACACCCCCCCACAAATGATAAAGTTCTGTGCCAAGTAATAATTTTAAAAATAAAATAAAAATATAATTTGAAAAAGTAAATGGGTATCTAAGTCGAGGACACTCCAAATCTTGAACCAAGATATAAATAGTTTCAGGAATTGCTGTGGATCTTTTTTTCCCTCTAGATTCAATTTTCTTTTTTGAATTGAAACAGTAAGGTAATTATTAAATAAATGTCACCCTTCAATAACTAACAAACATGTTATGTTTTGAAGTCAGAGTAGAGTTTTTGCATTGAAAATGATACATTTTTTAAAAATTATATCCTTTTATTGGTACATTTTAGGTGTACAGTACAATGACATTCATCGTTGGAGATATGCACCTTTACATAATCTCTCTTGGTTCTTATTTTTTCCCCTTCCCCTGCCCTCCCTTCAACCTCTCCATCCCTCCCTATTTACAAAGACTTTATTTCCATTTTTTCATTTTCTCATATTAATTCCATTCCCTTCTTCCCCCCCCCCACTTCCCCTTCCCCTTTGCCCCTTTTCTTCCTATGTCACATTATCTATTATACCTTTTAGTCCTTATTTATACTTTCAGGTTCTCACACTAGAGAAACTATTCAGTATTTGATACATTTTAATAAATGAGTTGAACTAAGAAAGGATACATGGCTAGAAATCTTAACCTCTACTCCAATAATTTTATAAATGATTACATTAACTTTATCATTGAATTATCTGAAGAAACATGGCTCGGATGAAAATTCTCTTTTGACTGCTCTCATTTATGAAATAAAATAAAGGGGAAAGGTAATTAAGAAGTATATCAAAATAAGTATCATGGATATTTCTGTTTTCCTTATAATTACTAAAAAGCCAGTGTTGCATAATAGATGTTGGTGGGGTTTTTTGTGCTGGGTGGTAAGGGGCCGCCACTTTTGCCCACGTGGCCTCTGCACTGATGCCCTGTTGTCTGTTGTCTGAAATTCTGTTGTACAGTGGGGGCAGGACGTCATCTGTCCTACTGTAGCAAGTTCTCAGGGAAGTACAGCAAGCAACAGCAAACAGTCATTTGCTCAGCAGTGCAAACTGGCTACCAGATCCCTCTGACAGTTTTTAAGGTTTTACTCCCATGAGGAACAGATGTGGAAGCGTGAGTGTGAGGCCGTCCACGGGCTACACTCTGCAGGGCAGGGAGGAGCGGGCCCCTCGGAGAATAAGAAAGACCTGTGGTCTCAGCCCTGTGCCCCTGGGCGGTTCCCAAACAGAAACGCGTTCATTGCTCTAGAGATCCTACAAGCTTCAAGTACTTAAATAAGTGCTTTAAACCAAAAGTGTTCAGTCCCATCAGAAATCGAAAATAATCCTGGTATGAAATTATAGCTTGCACACAAGCTTGCCAAACAGAAAAACAGACTTATCTATAAAATTAAACATGTATTGAAAATTATAAGTAGACGCTATTATTCTGAAGCAGCCAGATGGATGAAATAATTTTTCAAGCACTGCTCTGACCAAGTTGAAATTAATTTTAGAGAAAAGTTGAAATGACAGATTCTATGCATAGTTTATCTGTTAATGTAACATATGCTCTTTAATATTGCAGCCTACCGATGCCACAAAGGCTGTTTCTCATCCAATTACTGGAGAAATTCAGGTATGACAGATTTTAAACAGTTACCATTCTGCCATTTTTTAGCTCTTTTTGCTCTGGTCTATTGAATCTGGAATCTTTCTTCTTCCATAACACATATGGAATTATAAAGGGAAATGCCATTTTATAGCAGGGTATATTAATATAAGTAGATGTTTTGTAAAATCTTTTTTTTTCTTTTGACCCATAATTGCTGAATAAGTTGACAATTGTTACAAAGAAATATTTTTCATACTTAGATCATAACAACTTTCTAATTCGTGAAACCAGGAGATTTTGACCAGGAAAACACAAGAAAGATAGCGTAGCTCATGGTCACTGTTAGTTCTGTGTGTGTTTCTGAATATTGTTCCATAAAGATCTCGTAGTGTTGGTCATAGTAAAAAACATTAGAAAAACTGTACTGAGGTAATAGCAAGAAAGGAACTTAGGGCACACAGGCACTGTCACAAGGAAACAATGAGCGCCATGTGAATTAAAGTAGTGCGCGGTGCATAAGGAAAGCAGTAGTCGGAGATGTGTGTCCAGCACGCGAGAGGTGAAGTTCCCCAGTTCACCGAGGATAGCAGAGGTGTGAAGCACCTGGGGGAAGCACAGAGAGCAGGGTCCCGGCGAGGGATAGCGACAGGCCTGGGCCCTGGAGGGGCCTGGCCCGGCCCTCACAGCCAGATCTCTCCCTGCTGTCTCCCTGCTTCTAGGGTTTTTTTTTTTTTTTTTACCAGGCTTATCTTTCATCACTTCACAAGCAACAAAGAAAGTATGAGAATTTCTGATTCTTAGTATCTTTGTTTTGCCGATGTTTTTAACCGCTTGCCTTTGGACTTTGCCAAGTTCCCTTTCCCTTGCGGTTTGATGTTACTTGTTCTGATGGTTTTTTTATCTCCTTTGAGTCATAAGATGAACCCTACAGTTGCAGGTTACCCTAACAACATTCTTCTTAACCCACTTGGGATATTTTCTTAAAGCAGTGATTTAGTTCTTTTTTGATTTTAGTGGATATTAAGGAAAATATAAAAATAGCTTTTTAAAATAATTACAGAACAACAATGGTAAATACAGTATATTGTGATCATAAAAGAATGCATTTTCATTGCTACTCTATCTCTCAACACATTTCCTAGTAATACTAGATCTTTTTGCATGAAACATTTTAATTATTAATAAAGTATCTCACACTTGGTATAATTTTGAATAATTTCTTCCTATTTTGCATTATATATTATACATTTTGGTTCTTATTTACACTTTTGATTTCTCACACCAGAGAGACAGTGTGATATTTATACATATACATGTGTGTTCAATTTATTTCACTTAAGAGTATGGTTTCAAGGTACATCCATTTGCCTAGAAATATCTCAAGCTTATCCTTCTTATGGCTGAATAGTACTCTATTATATATATCCATTCATCAGTTGATGGGCATTTGGGTTGTTTCCAAGATTTAGCTCTTACAAACAATGCCTCTATAAGCATGGAGGCACGTATATTGCTATTGCATGATGCTTTTAGTTCTTTTGGGAAGATCCCTACAAAGGGAATACCTGGGTCAAATGGAACCTCTAGTCCTAGGTTTTTGAGGAATCTCCACACTGATTTCCAAAGTGGTTGCACCAGTCTGCACTCCCACCAACAGAGGAGAAGTGTTCCTTTCTCCCCACACTCCCATCAGCATTTGTTATTAGTTGATTTCTTGATAGCAGCCTTTCTTTCTGGAGAGAGGTGGAATGTCAGTGTTGTTTTAATTTAAATCTCTCCAATGACCAGTGATGTTCAACATTTTTTCATGTATTTATTTGTCATTTCTACCTCTTCATCTGAGAAGTGTATATTCATCTCAGATGCCCATTTTTGGACATGGTCTTTAAATTTGGGGTGTCTGATTTTTTTCATTTCTTTATATGTTCTAGATGTTAGTCCTCTGAGGAGGCACTGGCTAAAATTTTTCCCACTCTGTGCGTTGTCTTTTTGCTCTGTTGGCGATCTCTTTTGCTGTGCAGAAGCTTTTTAATAAGACGAGATCCCAGTTAGTCAGTTTTTTGTTTTTTGTTTTTTTTTCCTGTTGCAAAACCTTATTCCAGATGAAACTTTCCATAGAAAGGCAAACCAGGACTCTGGCACTGTGGCTGCCGAGGTGGACAGACACTGGGGTGCCCCTGCCTTGGGGCTAACCCTGAGCCACTCCAAACCGCTGTGCCGCTGCCAGGCCAGCCCAGCCACTCTGGCCCGCTCTCCTGCGTGGCCTGCAGGCTCTCTTTCTGCAGGAAGTGGGTGTGGGGCTTTACCAGTTCCAAGTGAGCTGCAGGGCAGCAGAGAAGAGAGCGAAGGGGAAGGGCTGTCCTGGAGGACGGGTCTGAAATCTGTGCACGATTCCACACTCGCTGTCTCGGTTCCCATCCCAGCACACACCCCTGGCCTCCCCACCTCCCGCTCGCTCCTCTCCTCCGGAGGATGTTCTTGTTCACAGCACTCTCAGCAAGGGCAGCGTCAGGCAATTAGAGATTCATTGTCTGCCAGGAAACACAACCAAATCAAAGTTATTCTAGGTCTATCTTCGTTTTAAGTGAAGGTTTGACTCATTTAAGTTATCCTGTTTTCCACATAAGCAGCGCATATCTATCACAAAATAGTATTTTTATTTTTGGATTTCCTCTTTGGAATATAGATCTTCCTGTTTCTACTGGATAAAGAAAAACAACAGCTGAGAGAAGTCTGACTTATTCTAAATGATGCCAAAAGAACCTTTCAATTATGAAAGAGAAAAATCAGTTAACTCAGTTTTTTGGATTCTGCCACTTTTCAAGTACCCACTGAGTGGAGGGCTTTTGCAGCGGTGTGCTGCAGTCAGCAGGCATCTCTGAGACAGTGACGCTTCTCAGCCTCTGAGACTAAAGAGCAGGACTGTGTTATCCCAGACTCCCACACTGCAAGAAAAAGAAGCCCAGAAAGAGGAGCTACAAGTTTAGCATCAAAGAATGTAAACGTGGACGCAGTGAATCTACACATTCTTAACTATTTTTCCATTTCAGTTTGACAGCTGTATCTTTTCGTAACTATCCACCCACAGCTAAACATGTGGTGAAATGCACCTGACACAATACATGTTCCAGTTATCCTATTGATTTCCACAGTCCTGGTCATTGTTATATGAATAGGTACTATTCCCCTAAGAGTAGAAGTTTATGTAAAAATTGAACCAGCATTCACTGAATGGTTTTCCTTCAGAATGAACTTTAAGAGGCCAGAACTTTTCACTATGGAAAAGGCATGTTTACTAGAAATTAAAATGTGCCCCACAGCAGCCAATTAGATATTCACTGGTCTGTTCAGCTTCAGATAAAATGGAAATGAGGGTTGATGCTTCTTAGAAGATTGTAAATGCAATGCTAGTAAAATGTCAAACGATAATGTGGTACATGTTTTCTTTAAAAAGTTATGGACTATTTTGCTGTCCCCTAAAGCTTCAAATCAACTATGACCTTGGAAATCTCATAATACACATTCTCCAAGCAAGAAACCTCGTGCCTCGTGACAACAATGGCTACTCGGACCCTTTTGTGAAAGTCTACCTTCTTCCCGGGCGAGGGTAAGAACAGAAGCAGTGCATGTGTCCTGGAGCCAGGACGCCTCCCAGTCTGTGTGTTCAAAGCCTGCCTCCATTGCGCTTTCCACCTTTCCCTTAGCTTTGGCCACATGTCGTAGTTATTGACTTATTAGTAGATAAGGTGGAATTAAAAATTTATGGTTAGAGGCCCGAGATTTAGCCCAGTGGTTTCCCTGCCTCCTGTGCAAGCACAAGGACCCAAGTTCAATCCCTGATACCAAAAAAATTTATAGTTAAGCCTTAAAGGGTCATGGAAGAGCAGCAGTGTAGTAAAACAGCCTTGAAGAGGAGTCAGCATGGATGTAGGAGCCAGGAGCCGCTCTCGTGATGAGTCACGTGACTGTGAAAGAAAGATTCAGGAAATCCCCGGGCTGTGGCAAGTTTAAAGAATTGGCTTAAGTTCCCAAAATTATTTGAAAAATAACTTTTCAGTTGCTGTTTTTTTACATAGGATATGTGTATTACCTCATATGTTTGAACTTCATTAAACTGCTTTGTAATATATCTGTATTTATATGCATATTTCCAAATCAAGGCTTAAAGCATAATAAATAATCATATTTGAAGTATCAGTTCTCATACATAAATGAAAAACATTTCTTTGACTCTCTGGTGTGCTATAGAAATGGTTGATGTAAAGTACATGCTCTTGGCTGTGCATGTAGCTCAGTGCTACAGCATGTGCTTAGCATGCACGAGGCCCTGGGTTCATCCCTACCACCAAATAAAATCAATCACAGATGAGTGCTCTTTGGAGATGTTTACTTTTCATGCAGTTAAGGCCAAGTGCTATGTTCTGGTATGTCAATCAGTACTTGGTAATGGTTTCAAACAGTGACTTGGCCTCCAAAAATCCTTATACTTCATCCCAACAACTCCTATAAGACAAATTAGCATATGTGATCAACAAATGAGACACAATATAGAGAAGCTTGGGTCTTATTTCTCACTTACTTTTCCACTGATTTGGGGAGTGACATTTGCATAAACTTTTTCCTTGGAAAAAAATCAATTGAGGCAAAGAAGCAGAGAGAACAATAAAAAGGCTGATCCTGTCCCCTCCCTCCTGTTCAGCAGGTGTCCTTACCAGCCAGTTATGTTTCAATTCTACCCTCATTCACCCCCTCCTCCATTATTCTGGGGTAGAGTAGATCCCAGCTATTGAAACTTTTATGCACTTATTTCAGTGTATAATATTTCTAAAAGAATGACTCATTTTAAAAGTTATAATTTCCTATATAACGTCTTAATTTTCCCAATTGTTTCATAATATTTCCCTAGATGGTTCGAGGATGTAATTAATATTTCTAGAACTTACTGCCCATCAACAGCAAAATATGTGTTGTCATTACACATGGAGTATTCACTAAAACTGTGTTCCTGGCTATAAAATGCATATCAAAGTCACTTAGCCTGTGCTCTCTGCTGTAGTCCGCGTGTTTGAATAGGACCCACACAATGCTCTGCACTCTGCTCCATACTGGTTGTGTCATGGTGGGCATCACCCCCCACTCCTTTGAGATTCATCTTCCTAATTTCAGTTCTGACAGCTAAGGTAGGAGAACCATAATTTTTACTTTGTCAGGAGAAACAAATTGGATAATACTCAGAAAATCATTTGAAAATTGCTAGGTGCTATATCAAATTCAGTATACAGGCTTTAATTTCATCCTCCCTAATAATTCCATTTAGAAACTCAGAATTGTTTGTATGGTAGCTCTAGTTTTAATTTATTAACCTTTTTTTAAAAAAAATTGTCATTAATTTTATATCATTTATCCACTAGCCACATAACCCAAGAAAAGAGATCATTTCTTTTATGCTAACTTACACATTGATGTAACTGTGTCTATAACTTGGCTAGATCTTTCAAAGTGAATTTAACAAAAATAATAACAAAACTTCACTCCAATTTTGATTTTGCTCGTTAGATTGTTAGTGTTACTTCGTAACAATATTAGGAAATCACTGCCAAGGATTGGTCTCTAACATTTTTTAAACAAACGAAGGAATGAAAATAAAGCACTATCACTTATTTTCTACCTTCTCTCATGATGTACTGCAGTATCATCTTTTATACTACATGAGAGTAAATAACTTGTTTGCACCAGATATGTTTTGACTGGAATGCTGCAAACCTGCATAACCAGAAAGGACACCCAGGTGACAGGATAATGTCAGTCCACTCTGGGATAAGTAGCACAGAATGGTGAGAATGCAATGGAACGGAGAGAGAATTGCCCAAAATGCTGTCCTCATGCAGCTACATCCTCCTGCAAGATATCCCTGATGTGTGGCTTTAGCTTAAGGCAGCTAGTGTGTTGCTAGTATTTAATTTGTAGCTCTTTCATTAAATTGTCCTTAATTGTTACAGTGGCCAATGCATTGGGACTGGTTGTACTTTTGAGGTGTTATTTTCACATAGTTCTAAGATTGTCTTCTGCCTCATGTCATTTATGTGTTATGGAACACTCCTCTAATTAGTGTTCTTGTATTTCCTTCCTTATTTCCGTTCCTAACTTTTTTCTTCCTGTCTTTCCTACTTTCCTGTTGTATCCTTCTCTCTCGCTCTTGGAATCAATGCAGCCAAGTCATGGTTGTCCAGAATGCAAGGTAGAGTTGATTCTTTTCAGTGTCAAGCTATACCGTTTTGCCTAAAGTAATACTTTTGTGTATTTGTGTATATTGAACTGCAATTCAACCTGGCCTATAACTTTTATTTTTCTGCATTTTAATATCTATTGAATTATATCTACAGCAAATCTGGAACACATTTCTGAATGGCTTTAGCGGGTGTGTGCAATAGGATACAGAAAAATAGGAAAATATTTAAAACAGAGAAAATATAAATAAGGACATGTCACCCTGAATTAGACATTACTAAGGTTTTAATTTACAGTCTGTCCACTAAGTCTTATTTTGCTTCTTAAATGAAAATCATGACTTGAATTATCCTGGCTGTTCTATTACAAATAAACATTTCTAGAGTCACTTTTTAAAGGGAATTAATTGATCTGTATATCCAGTAGTAGATATATATTTCACTTTAAACACAATAAATGTCTAGACCTTTTCCCTTGGAACATCTCCATGCTTTGAACCTCTGCACTGGTGGGCCATGTGGGATTCCATGTGTGCTTCTTGCAGTATAATGGCCATGACGCAGGAGAATCCCCTTTTTTTCAATACTAGGAAACTGGTTTTTGCCATTTAAATCATAACATGTTGTATCATTACATTATCAACTAAGGTTATTGTTTAATATATAGCCAATAGCATTATTTTACACAACCCTTGGTGCATTATAAATTAAGCATGTTATTTAGTGGGAAAGGCTAATCATGTAATCTAGCAATAAGGTGATGAGAATTTTAATTCCACCCGGATTATTAATGGTCCAGCATTTGTTTTTGTCTGTGATATTAAAACATGATGTCTCTATTAATCCTGACAAGCTGTTGCCCAAAAGAGACTACTTTAGATTTTTAAAGGCATAAATATTTACATATTGCAAACAGCAGGAGGATTGGCCACAGCCCTACCAGCATCCGAAATCTCCCCACTTCCTTGCAGCCATGGAATGATGGCAGTGTCTTACACGCTCCTCACAGGACAGGATCCAGGTGTCTTGTACTGAGTGAAATTAGTGGATTTCAAAGAGAGAATGTCATTGTTAGAACAGACATTAGCAATCACATTATTTGGAATTTTCCTGTCTTTTATCTAGAGAAACTAAGGGAATATTGTCAGAATACTGACCGCCTGTGTTTAATGACAGAGGAGAGCATGTTGTATAAATGTAAATAATGATTGAATGAGTCTGGGATGTTTGGGATTACAGTTTGGAAGACCTAGAAGTCATTCTCTTATCTGGCAGTTACTTTCACAGTACCTCTGGGAATTATTAACATGGAGGGAATGGTAGTGACAAAATACCGAATTGTAGGTTAGAATATGGAGGTTTCAATTCAGCCCTAACACTTCGAGGTTTGAGATTTATCTAAAACTAGTTCTTTTCTGCAAACTAGGAATAGTCATAGCCATCTTTTCTCCCCAAAATGTAGGGGTTTATAAGCCAAAAGTGACAAGCACAGTGTCTGGCATCTAATAAGCTTTCAGCAAATGCCACTTGCTATTACTGTTGCGAGTAATATATATAATTTTCATGTAGCCAATGGTCAGTTATCTCTGCAGAAATGGAGAAATAGTGTGCTTGGGCTACTCAATTATATCAAATTAGTTAGCAACAGAGTAAAGAAAATGAATTAACTTTTCTTTAATAGCAAAAGGTAATACACTAGAGTCAAAACAGCAAAAGTGCTGTTAAGTAATAAATTACTGGTCCAGTTTGCTCATCTCGTCTCACTTCCTCTTCCTGCCCCTTAACCAGTGTACTCACAAGCGCTGAGAGGGCAAACGCCAGGCAGGGGAGCTGAGAAAATGACAAGCAAGGGGCCCACGCCCTCCCGAACTCGGCCCCCGCGCTGGGCACCTGAGCACTGGAACTGCAGAGCTGAGGAGTCTCTTCGTGGGTCTCTCGGGTCACCGTGCTGGGCAAAGAGCCAAAGTTTTTCCTTTAATGGGAGTTTGCTTGATGGTACCAAGTTTTAGCTAGCATACCCTTGGAAACCCAATTACTGGCTACACTTGATCCAGATCACCTTGTTAGCATATGAAATTATCTCCTCTGGGACAGGTATTGTATGTATTTGAAAGATGACTTAATTTCAGTAGATTTTAAAGAAAAACAAAGAAGCGAAGCATGTTTTAAAGGTCCATTCTGCACGCATTTATTTACCACAACCTGTGTGCAGATTCCGTGAGAAGGGAGGGTTGGAGTGAACGGCCTAGCCGCAGTCTCCGCTCTCCGGAACAGACAGGATACGGAAGTGACCGACAGGAAGTACACTGCTCCCGGTGCGGGTTAACTGGGCTGGCAAACGGATGGGAGGCGCGCTCCACTTCCTCCTTTCGGTATGCGCATCCGCGGAGTCCGTTACAGGGACACCAAATCAAATTTTAAAAATGAATAATTTCAACACTTTAGATATTTCTGTGAAGGTGGATGCAAAGGATTCATCATATTCTTTTTTTCTCAATATTACCTTTTGAAATTTAAAAGAGAAATTTGGAGAACTTTTTTATGACTGCAATGAAAGCGCATCTACTAAGTAAAATAACTAATAAAAATAAAAGAAAAAGGAAACTTACAGGGAGAAAATAGAATATGCACACACATAGGAACAGGCTGCGTCACTATCTTCACTTTTATTTTCCCATATTACTATCTCTTTGATTATCCACCACAGCCTAATTGTTCTAATGGAATGGCTTACTATACCCTTCCCGTGCGGAAGTGTTGGGTTTACCAGACAAGAAAGGAGCAGGAGGGCACACCTCACTTTTCAGTCAGCCTGTATTTCTGTGCATACCAAGAATCGCCCAGAGCCGCCCAGCTTGCAGGGGCACAGCCAGACTGCCCTGTGGCTTGGAGCACGGTGGTGAGTCTCCAGCTGTGTGAAGAGGCGCTCGGCCCCTGGAGTCCGGCACTGCTGTCAGAATGGGGGTCTCGGCACAACGTTGTGACAGATGGCCCTGAATGGGCGGCTCTGCACAGCAGGACTGCATAGGAGCCAGGCTCAACAGGCTGGGGTGGGCGCTTCCCTCTGCATCCTGCACCCTGGGTCTGGAGCGAATAGAGAGCCAACCCACTGCTAAAACCAAGACACTATTAAAATAAACACCTGAATTTGTGCTTGTCAGGTACTTATAATAAATATCCCCGATTATTCCCCAATATTCATTCAGCACTTCCCTGAGCAAGTCTACGATCCTCCGCCTCATCTTTATATGTGTATATGTGCATATAAGACATAATTTATATAATTACATAACAAAGAATATGAATCGAGATGGAAAACCTTAAACTATAATAAAGCCTAGAGTTAAGAAAATAGATGGATTAGTGACACGGTGGCCCTAACCAGATAAGTCTGCATGTGTGAGAGCAAAGCCCAGTTCCCTTTTGAGGGTTACCCGGCCAGTCAGCATCTGCAGCCTCGGCCGCTCACCTTCACTCTGAACTTTGGTTTTTCTTACCAGTCGAGGTTGCTAATAACCAAAACCTGTCTGCTAGGGATGAGATGATGAGAATTAAGTGAGTTCGAAATGAAAAGCATTTAAAACACTACCTTGGAAAAAGTAGAAATTTCATGTTAATTATTACTCCTTAGTGTACAGTTTTAAAGAAATGTTTCTTATGCACAAATCTATCATATGATCGTACATCAGTAAAACTGAGTCAGGGTTAGCAACAGATGTACATCTTGGTAGAGATGCACAGTTCTTGGTAGAGAACTGGCATCAATAACTTTTGCTAGTTGTAAAAATGAAAAAAATACTAAATATAGATATGAAACATTTTGACAATTATTCATATTTATGAATTAAGAAAAGATGATGACTGATAAATCCTTTTGAAAACATTTCAAAATTGCTGGTAATTTTAATATCTAGTCATGTCCAGAATTGTCTTTGAAAACACATGACTTTGCATCTCACATTTACTCTAATCTTCTTAAAATTATACAAATAAAAATTGTTTTAGAACTTAGAAATGAATTGAACTGTGGTTCACACTGTTATGAATTATACCCTTACTGTGGTTTTCCTATGATCTCTTCACTTTGATAACTAAGTCCAAACATGCAGAAACTTTAAAACTCATAATACTAGGCAGGAAAGTCACAAGTTCAAGACCAGTGATGTAATTTAGAGAGATTCTGTCTCCAAATAAATAAATAAATGACTGGGAATGCATCTCAGTGGAGAAACACCCTAGGTTTATTCCCCAGTAATGCAAAATGAAGCAAAAGCTGTACACTTGCTATCCAGCTGTATCAAATCATAATATTTTGTTTAATTTGCTTCAGATATCTGTTTAATAAAAGATATTTTACAGGTAATTCTGGAGCCCTCTGAAATCACTTCCTTGGCCACCTAAAATAACCACAGAATTGAATTTAATATCTATACTTCCTATGTTTTTGTGATATTAATACAGTTGTTATATACAATGTGTACTAAATAACTTATACTAAACTATTATCTCATATGATTTTAACTTTACATCCTGATACCATATGTAATTACATTTATCTTTCTCTAAGAAATTTTCTCAAGATTTTTCTATTTGGATTCATGAAGATTTATTTAATTCACTTTGATTACCAGTTAATATTTCATTGATTGAATATATAATATCATAATGCCATTCTTTTATTGATTTAATATTAGAAACAATGTTGCAATGGAAGTTCTTGAACAAGCTTCTTAGGCACAGGTGGAAGAATTTGTAGGAGTGGCCTAAGTAGAAGTGTTTGGATATGTAACTTCAATTGCACTGGCTACTGACCTTTAGCTAAAAAGTTTGTGTGCACAAACATACCTTCTGTCCATGGTCCATAGGAGTTCCTATTTCTGTAAATCATTATCTGTACTCTTATTTTTGTACATGCAAATGGGTTACTTTGAAGTGAGAAGAATACTGCTTTAATTTTAAAATTGTACTCAGCTCACAGTGGATGATGTGTGAGCAGTTACGGACACAAGCTCAGTGGTTTAGATCTTAGCTACACAGTAACTGTGTTGGGAGCCTTTGAAATAGTAATTCTCAAGCCTTGCCCCGGATTAATTTAAAGAGACTCTCCTGCCTCTGTGCATGTGTGTGTGTGTGTGTGTGTGTGTGTGTGTGTGCGCGCGCGCACGCATGCGCATGACTCTGGTGACCTGATATTGACTGACTGAACTCCTGGCCCCAGCTGATCCTGGTAGGCCATCGCACTGGGCATTAACTGCCTTTGCATGTGGTTGGTGAGAGAATAAAACCAGAGAGAGAAGGCCAGTCTTTGGCTCTCTAACCATCTCTAAAAGTCGGAGATGCACTTGAGATTGGTTCTCAGTGGCTTTATCTAGAACGCATGGGCAAATCTGCAGTGGGGGGTCAACACTAGACATCCAAGATGTGGCAGTACTTGCAACCAGGCATGCAGCAGAAGTTAGTCTGGTCCTGTATAATTTGGAATAGAACAACAGACCACAGGATCCAGTGCCTTTAGGGAGAGGCAGGCCATGAAGTCTGGGACCTCCAGACAGGTTGGTTTCCAGGGTCCTCATGCCCACCAGTGACAGCACTACTGAAGAGCTGATGTGTAAGCCTAGGCCAAAATCTCAGAAGGCCAGTGGGGCAGTGGAAGTTTGACCATGGCCTTTGCTGTGTGAACACCACACTTTAATAGCAAATTGCAGTAATCTAATTCCAAACTCAACCACTAGTGAGTGCCAGTTATAGACGTTCTGCGAGACTCAACTAGGAGAGGTGTGGAGTATAATTTTTAAGAATATAGAATATACACTTCTTTCTGTTCAGAGGGAATGGAAGAGTCACGGAGTAGACCAAATGCCCCACGTTACAATGATGAGGAAAGATTTGAATTTTTCATAAATGTAATGAGTAACTGACATGAACCAATAATTTATATTCAATTAAAATTGTTTCAGGACTACATTGCCTATCATACTTTACCAAAGTGTCAAATATACTTTAAATATTAGATAAATGTCTGAGATTTCAACTAAAGCAATAGCCATTCTTCATCCTTCTCTCAGTTAATGCAGTCCTTCCAATTTAAAATACAAAGAATGATCACATAGCTCTCCTGACATGATTTGCTCTTGAACTGCTGGAAAGTTAATGACCAAATTTCATTTGTAGAGCAAGAAGATATTGAAGCTACCATAGAGTTCTTGTAATTATCTCTTACATTCAGGAAGAGTAAGATTTCTAAAATTTTGGTACAGTTAGGACATCTACAGGGATTTCTTTAAAACACTCATTAGGGCAGCTAAAGTGAAACACTTGCAGCATAATTTTAAATCATCAAGTGTGTTTAACTTATAAAGGGATTCAGGATGTGAGGTTGATGAGATGGACTGCACAGTGACTCGAAGCCAAATACCTTGGAAAGCCTGTGCATCCTTCGGTTTGACTGACATTGTCGGGGAAGTTGAATAATCACAGTCACTTTCTTTTCTTCCAATTCAGTGCTGAGCACAAGAGAAGGACTAAATATGTTCAGAAAAGTCTTAATCCTGAGTGGAATCAAACAGTCATTTATAAAAGTATTTCCATGGAACAGGTATGTAATGACCACTGCCTAGGTGACACTGAGCCTAACATGAGTGTAGCAATCCATTTTGGCCAGACAAGAAGGGTTCAGTAAAATACATGCAAGAAACGTAGCCCAAAAAAGGAAATGTGTGAAGTTCAAATACAGGATGAAAGTAAACGTGGGCATTTTGACAAAGCAAGCAAAAAATGAACAAATATATAAAATAAAAAGACTGGTGGAATATTTTCCATTGCTTATTCCGAAATTTAAAAATTTCAGCTGGGGATGGTGGTGCGTGCTTGTAATCCCAGCACTCAGAAGGTTGAGGCAGAAGGATCGCCACAATTTCAAGGCCAGCCTGGGCTACATAGTGAGTTCAAGGCCAGCCTGAGCTGCGTAGCAAGACCCTGTCTCAAAAAACAAAAACAAACATAAAAATTTCAGTAACCTGTATCATGATTTTACTGTAGAGGAAAATATTTTCCAATGGTTATATTTTGACCTTCACAAATAATATAAAGAAAAAGTAAAATTCAGTGCTCAGAATTGTATCATTCCACCAAATAATACTTAGGGAATCCATCTCTTCTCTAGACTTTGGCCTCCTATGAGAACGTAGAACAAGGCCATCAGAATGATCGCCACCATTAAGTGACCCCAGGCCCATCTCATCAGTATGCTTTTGAACATCTGCATTTGATAACTCCTCATGATTGGCAGAAAATAACTGATAGTTCATAAAGTTAAATTCAGAGTATACAAATAAAATAGGAAGAGGTCATCCATATGAAACAATTAACAGTCTTTCAAAATGAGGCTATTTGATTATATAGTTGAAACTGGGTATAAATTACAATCTGAGTCTTTAATTTAAAATAAATTCACGTGCAGGAATAAAATAATATACTATCTTTTCTTTGGGACATCACTGAAACAAAAGCTATAATCTAAATACTTTAAATAATTGTAGCTATTGTAACCTATGAATTTCTTATACTTGAAGATTATTTGCAGATTCTATTTTCTATTTTTAAAAATAAATGGGTAGGGAGGAATAGAGAAATAGAAAATAAGTGTTACCATTTTCTTCCCAAGATGATGAAGCCTCAGGATTAAACACTAGCATGGGCTGAAAAGTGATTGTTGCAATTTTCACACAGTATTTTATGCATCCGCATAGTTTCAGATAAAATTTCAAATATGTTTTACACAAATGGAAAGGGTTCAGGGTAAAAATTGATTAGTCGAGTATATTAATGTAATGAAAAGTCACAATAGAGAAATGGGAGTGATGCCTGTTTTATTTGAACTGCAGCTCAAGAAGAAAACCCTGGAGGTGACTGTCTGGGATTATGACCGATTTTCTTCCAATGACTTCCTGGGGGAGGTGAGCCTCTGATTTCCTTCTCCACGTGGATCTGCTGCCATGATGAACCACCGATGAATGCGTAATGCAAAGCGTGTTTCTTAAGTTTATGAAACAGCCATTTTTGAATACATCCTTTCATAGATGTAATTTATTTATTGAGTTACTCTTGGAATAGATGGACAGCAACTTGAGAAATGGTTTTCTCTGTACCACTTTATAGTTAATTTGTAAGACTGAATATAATTGTCTCAATAGGAAGGCATGTAACCCTGCTGTGAGTCTAAAAGAGTTTTGAAGTAATACATCTATATTATAAATTGAGCTGGACTTGAAAAACTGCAATTTCAGCTTCCTCACTGCACTTCTGAAGGCCTGATATAATATTTTACATTGTTATTTATGATTAAATATCCTGATCTCAGCAACTATAAAACGCACCATTATTTATGTTCCACTAAGAAGAAAAAAGTGCTGTCGATTAAGCCACGACACAGTGCTTTCTCATCATCCGTTGTTAGTCACATCTCTATTTCAAATGTTCAGTGTTTTTAAATAGGAGAAATACATTACTAATTGCAAATTACCCATTATTTCTCTTCTTTTCATTTTGTCCCAAATGTATGACTAAAATCATACATTTAAAAAAGTTCAGATAACCAAAAAAGGTTTTTATGAAACGAATGACTTGTGACCTCACCAACTTATATAATTTCAAAACAATTTAGTTAATAGTCAAAGACTACGCAGTTCAATTTAATCCCGCACATGCAATGCATCCAATGCACACAAGTCATTGTTCCCATATCCTGGGTGAAGAAAAATGAGAAAGCAAGAAGGAAAATGAGGAAGCCACGTTCCCCTCCTGGAAGGTCACACTGAACCCCTGGAGGAAGTGTGGGGTCGCAGGGCAGGGTCTCCTCGTGCGCTGACTCCCGCCTGCGCTTTGCCCTCGCAGGTCCTGATAGACCTCTCCAGCTCTTCGCATCTGGACAACACTCCGCGGTGGTACCCGCTGCGGGAGCAGACGGACAGCCTGGACCACGGCCAGGCCCACACCGGCCCGGGCAGCCAGGCGGCCCCGAAGCCGGCCGTCATCAAGAGCCGGAGCCACGGCATCTTCCCGGACCCGGCCAAGGGTAAGAGCCGCTGCAGGCAGCGCCCGGCTGTGCGCTCGCTGGGTTCCCCCGGGGGGCGTGACCGTGCGTCCAGCGGCTGCCAGGGAAGAGACAGCTGCACATGACCCCTGGGGCTTGGTTTCTCAAACGTCGGGGCAATAGGATTTTAGGGAGTCCTGGGGAGCCTCACACAGGAGGCGTAAAGTCCCTCCAGCACACTGCCGAGGGGCCGGTCCTCTCCGTGGCCGATGCTCTGGTTGCGCTGGTTTCCGCCAGGGTCTCATGTGATGTGCAGACCCCGGGCTGGCAGTGGGCACACAGGCCTCTCGGGGTGCATTTCCTGGGAGGATCTTAGGCGCCTGCTGACCTCCCTGGACAGACTGAACCCGGAAGCGCAGCTACCGCACGGCACCCGAGCCCCGCGTCCTTCACCCCGGGGACTCTGCCAAAGCACAGCCCACTGCGGGCACAGCCCACTGAGGAGGGAGCCGGCGTGGCGTGCGGGGGAGGGGAACCAGGCCCCGCGTCTCCATGGTGACCACGCCCTGACTGTCCACCCTCCCGCAGCAGACATGCAGGTGCCCACCATGGAGAAGTCGCACAGCAGCCCGGGCAGCTCCAAGTCGTCGTCCGAAGGCCACCTACGCTCGCACGGCCCTTCGCGCAGCCAGAGCCGCGGCAGCGTGGCGCAGCACCTGGAGGACGCGGGCCACGCCATCGCCGCCGCTGAGGCCGCGCAGCAGCGCGCGCCCCCAAGTAAAAGGCGCAGATAGCAGCATGGCCCTCCCGCCCGCTTCTGTCCGCACCCGCCCCGCCCTGTCTTGTCCGTGTGAACCAGCAGCGACCCATACACAGGCTCTTCCGTGCTTGTTTTCTTCCATTTCTTATTTTTTTTAATTCACATAGACTGCAGTAAAACTGGCTGTTTCTCCTCTGTCTCCGCCCTCCGTCCAACCGGTTCATGGTACCTAGCAGCCATGTCCGTGACGTTCGCAGGCCAAGCAATGTTGTGTGTCCTTCTATGTGTGCCTCAGTACCCTTTCGATTACAGGGATTATAAGCACAAGGGGCTGCCAGTTTTCCAGGCATTGCACAAAAAAAAAAAAAAAAAAAAAAAAAAAAAGCACACACTTATTGGGAGGAGAGTCACAATGACATTCTCGCACCTGAAAAGATTCAAAACTTTTAAGTAGAACAGTTATGAGACCAGCAGCCACTTTCTACAGCTGAGGGAAAAAGCTATTTCAAGCTGATGCTTAAGACCATGTGAGAAATTGTGCATGTGAGAGGCGAGAAACTTCCTAGTCTTCTGAGAAAGCTGTGAAGAAAGTGACATTTTATCCACAGTGGTACCTCGGTTCATGAACTGAAATTTTTCCGCCGTTGTGGAAAAGGTGGCCACGTTTGTGTTTGTGTAGGAAAGATGGCCGCGTTCATGTCTATCGCCCGATGCAGAGTTGGCAAGCAAAACCAAGATTTTGCTAAATGCTCTTGTTTGCCAACCAAATTGTTCACAAGCAAAAGCGTCCATGAAGTGCGGTACCACTGTATTCTTCCAAAACACACGTTCATCTACGAAGCAGTCTATGGGATGAGGCTGCTAGCTTCACCAAGGAGCACAGCCGGTTCCGTCCTCTTGGATAACCCTTTGTGTGCCATCACAGAGAATTTAAGGCTTATTTTTTCCCTAACCATTGAAATACTTTAAAATTCAAGATGTGCTGTGTCTAGTAGCTGTCAGTCAATCAAAGTGCACTGTTCACCCGCGTTAGCGGCTGTGTACCATTGTGAACAGTTGAGTCAACTGTAACAACCCAAGTCCACAGAGTCGCCAGCTGTGGGTGCTGTGACTCCCGGCCTCAGCCAGGCAAGGGAGAGATTGTTGTCTTGCGCCCCACTCCCATCATGGTTTCGAAGAAACAGCCAGTTTTAGGGTCCTTTAGTGCTATGCATGTGGTGTCCTTGGCATTGGAAAACACACCTAGCAGAGCAAGAGAACACTTCTGTTTGCATGAATCACACGAGGCCGGGTCCGTCCAAGGGTGCATACTCTGGGTTTCCATCTCACCCACACTGCCAGTGCAGCACCTAAGAGCGGGCAGTCTAATCGTGCCAGGAAGCAGCACAGGCACAGCATAGCAGGAGTCCTTCCCATTCAGAGAACTCAGTCTGACAATCTGCCTCCAGCAGCCAATGGTACCCAAGACCAAAGCCAGCTAGCCCTCAGGAAGGCGCTGTCCGATGGACCGGTCCAGCCAGACGGAGGTGAGCAGAAAGGCCGTGTTCAAAGTACACAGCGAGAACATCCCCCAGTTTAAAGCCCGCATCTTTAATTTTTAGAGATTGTCTGATAAAAATGTTCATCCCCTTTGTAATGTGCTTTTGTGGGCATGGCATCTTAGGGCGTCATCGTCACCATCTAGTCCCCAAATCAGTCTCGTAATAAATTGACTACAGTGATTTGTATTTTTCTACACACTGGGCATCTTTTGATCTTTTGACTTTTGTTGGGAAATAGATTAACAGTATTCATATTGCAGAATGGAATGCATGCTACTAACCTAATCTGTTCAAGCATGACTATAAATATGTTGCATTGTGATAAAAGTTTCAATTGCACAATTCACCTTAGCCTACCACTTGAAATGTAGATCAGTTTTTTTTGTTGCATATGATTTGAAGTGTAACTTTTGGAAATTCTTAGAGGATAGTAAAGGAAAAATTGTTAATGCATTCATTCACCTTTCCATAGTGAAAGTTCTCTCTTGGTCTACATGCAGAAGTTTTCCATTCCTGTCTCCATAGGTGTTTAAGTGTATCAGATGTGTTGGGCATGTGAATATCCAAGTGCCTGTGTAATAAATAAAGTATCTCTATTTCATTCATAAACTACTGGGTTCTGAGCCATTGTTATATGCTGCAGCATAAAATGAGTGTGTCAGTTTTTGTTTTCTCATTGGATTCCCTGCAGTATAGTTACTGCCCCATTGCTAGCGACAGTTGTGATGGCAGAAACATTTGGGAGCAGAACAGAATTTCATGTTGGACACATTATAAGATAGAAGAAAAAGCATTGCCAAATAAAAGCATGAGAGCTTCCATGAAAACCTAGACACATAATGGGTTTGGGCTATGCTAGGCAGTGCCTCCACTGCTTCTCTTTCTCATGTCTGATCTATCCCACAATCTTCTCAGGTTCCTGGATAGAGCAACACAAATCCCATGACCCTTGCTTTGAAGAAGCAGCTAACTTGTATCTCATAGCTATATTCAAAATGGAAAGCAAGCTTATATCTGCCCCTTACCCTACCCAAATAATTGGAGTTTTCTCCAAGAAAGAATGGTACTGCCAGTGACAGGAATCCAAATAGAGTGATCAGAATGTTATCTTCAATGTAATGCAAAACATAGATCTTTTGAAAAGATTTTTTAAAAATTGGATAGCACTGTTAGCCCTCTTATGTACCTCCCAGCCCTAAAATACTCAATTTTATTATTCTAGATTTGCCACAAAATTTAAATCAAGCCTGTACTCTCTTTTTGCATTTCTCTTTATTCTCAAGAAATTAAAAATATTCACTGTGTTCTTCTCCCAATTAGTCAGATATCTGTATGCAACAGATATATGTGGCAGCATGGAGGCAGACCACTGAGATGTGTCCTAAATTTGCCATTAATTGTAATTAGGGAAATAATTAGCTTAAACATGAGTACAATTCTGAATATGTGTTTTCTCAGCCCACTTAATAGATTATCATCAGATCAAAATTTCCCCATTTCTGCTAGTCTTACTTTCTAAAATTACTTAAAATTCTACCTCTCACTTTTTCTTTCATCAAATAAACTCAGTTGATTTCTTCATGTTATTATTTTCTTCTTTGAAATATTGCATTAATTATAAATGTCACAGTAATCAAACACTTCCCTTAATCCATGCTTTATTTTAAGTATTGTAATTTAGGTATTACTATATAATTATTTTGTAAGATTTTTTTATCATAGATGTGGTTCTTAAAATGTGCATAAAAATGTTTTAATTCCTTTTCTTTGAATAATGCTCAAATAGATATTCCTTACATTTAAGATGCTATGTTGAATTAGAAGTCCTCTGCTGAAATCACAAAGGGAAAACTAAATAATATAGAATGCATTATTATTTAATTTTGTCCTAATTGATGGTAAATAAAATGCCCCATTTTCTAAAATCAAAAAATATTATTTCTCTGCTACGCATTTTCTCCAAATATCTAATTGCAAATGTATTATGGGAAAAAATTTGTATAGAGTTCAGTGTAATTTGTTTAATGGTAGAGAGAAAAACTGACCAGAGATATAAACATACAGTCAGCAAGTTCTGATTCACTAGCTCACTTCCTGCAGAAATATTTGAAGTAGTTTGGGTAAAAGTCCCCTGTTCAGTCCTCACAGAAGAGTTCATATAATGGCATCTGCATTCTGAAAATAATATCCTACCATTGCATAGTGCTGCACATTGCACAAAGCACTTTGTCACCCACATCTCTGGTCATCCAGTTATCTCACCCTAGATGCGGGTGCACAATGAGAGAGCCAGAGGTGTAGGGCAGCTGATGCAAGAGTGGACAGTGGAAAGTGTTCAGAACCAGCACCTATGACCTTGTCTATGAAGCTGAGACCTTTGCTTTTTAAAACATTGGCTCTTCTGAATTCAGACACTTCTGATTTCAACAAAAGCAACAGTCACATCCTTATTTTTAATTGAATGCTAAAATTCTTACAAAGTATTAGACGTAGCCAGAGAAGGTGACAGAAAACAATCCAGGCTTTACCTATGTGAGCCTTCTGTCTAAGGGCTGGTGACTGAAGCTGAAGGCAGTGGCAGGAACCACTCCACCATGCAAGCCCCATGGGCAGCAGCAGGGCCAGGGGAAGCCTCAGTACATCTGGGGGCTTTTCTATCAAGGATGGAAAACTGTCCCTAAAGAGCTTTCAAGTTCTCTTTGTGAGCTTCTCAGTAGATTTCTGCTTGGACTAGCATAATATATGGGTCAAGCCAGAATCACAGAGTGAGTAGAAGGACGTTTCCTCTCCCTCTGGGGCTTAGTTGTGTGCTGGGGAACCTGAAGGGAAATGGTAGACACGCTGTGCCAAACCATCCTGATGCCTGGACAGCTCTGCATTTAGAAATCCCAGGGCATGTATTTTCCAAGCTCCTGAGTCTGGGTAACACAGGCCCTGCTTGTACAGACATCAGCCAGGGGAAATTTTAGAGAGTAGTTTTAGTTTAGTTTTATTTGTTTATTTCTTTATACCATCCAAAACCAAATCACAGAAGAGACCTTGAATCTTAAAACCTTGAAGATTACTATAGTTGGCATCTAACAAATAACATTTTAAGTGCAAGTTGAAAATTCCTATTTTTTGAAGATTTTAGATATGAGTTTTAAATGTAGTAACATCATTCAGGATGGGAATACATATCCATCCTCCCTGGGCAATAAAATTAGCACTGTTGGGAAGGCCAAAGGGCTTAGGTGAGAATGCAGATAATCAAATGACCTATGTGAGGCACTTATGGATGCAAGTTCCTTGGTGAGGCTGAAATATAGAGAAAAGCCTGAAGCTACTGTCCACAAGCCACTGCTGGAGACCCCACAGTGAATAAAGCTCATTTATGACTGACCAAGCCTTGTCAAAGTTCCTCTCCTGTGTTGCTTTGGCGAACGCTTCACCAAGCAACCCCATGAGAGTCACTGTCTTGGGCAAGAGGCAGTGGGTGGTCAGGTCAGGAACAGTGGCCCTGGGAGCAGAGAGAACTCTCGATTCCAAAAGGCAGGCGCTCAGGAGGTCTGTGTTTTTCTGACCCTAAAGAGATGATCACTTTGGGTCCGAAGAAATTTAAACTTCTCTGTTCTTGGGAAAGACAGAGCCTGTAGGGAAGTAAAGGAGCAATGATCAGAGAAATTACAGTGGGCTCCACTGCATGCGTGTGGTTAACAAAAACAGATTGTACATTCATGATTTCCGTGTATTTGTGCAAATGCAGAAGTTAAAACATTTAAAAACTAAAACCCTGAGGAGTTTAAAATAAAAAAGAAAGTGGAAACTATAAACATCCAACAAAATCTGAGAGAATCAATTTGAATAATTTTTGGCTTTCGAAGCTCTATTCCTATTCTCTGGGGGCAAGGGCTTTCTTTGTGGTCTGTGAAGATCAAAATGTTTTTTGTGGGTTTCCATACCTTCTTGAATGACTGAGTATGCATTTGCAAATATTTCCTTAGTCGTTTGAATTTATTGCTGGCACTATCTCTGCTATCCATGTAAAGTCACGGACTATTTATAGCTCTGCTCGTGTGACATTCTCCTGCTTATGACCTTCCTTCCTGACCTGCCATCAAGGGTACTTTTATTCTTTCCAGTAGTAGCCGTGGATCTCTGCCATCTCAGCCACTTGCTTTGATCTGGTCTCACTGGGCAGTTTTATTTTCATTTTCTGAGACTTAATAGTGAGACCAGCTGGCCCATCTAAATTTCAGACTTGGCTTCCACCTCGTATGCCTTAGGCAAGTGCTCTGGAAGCTATATAGTGAAGACTGGAATATTCATACCTGATCTAACAAGAAGAGGCCTTAAACTTTAACATGCCACATCTTTTAAATGTGACTTTTCAGATGCAAATAATTTTGCCTTGGGCTTGAGAAAATTATTTTCAAAAAGTTAGTTTATTAAATTTCCACCGGGGATCAGGACTGAGGCAGTGAGATTGGCAGGGAGGAAATGCATGGGAGTCTGCTGGGGATGCCATGGGGACACAGACTGGGGCCCGTATGAGCAGGTGCTTCCCATCAGGTAGGAGCAATTGTGGAAGCAGGAAAGGGAGGTGCCATGCACCTTCGGCTACTTAACCATGTTGCCTGCATCTAGCTGTCTAACTGCCCGTGGATTGCTTGCTTATTGTTCTGCTTTTCATCCACAGGGGTTACACACATTGTGTAAAACAATGACATCTCACCCATTCGCCACTATGCAGTGTGGCTGGGGCCAGGACATGTGGGTACAGACTAGGACTCAGGGAATCTTCAAGTGGACTGTGAAAATGTAATTATTTTTAATGTTATTACTAATGTTGTATTTGCAAATATATAATTAATCACCAAGAAGCCAAGGACACTTACGGAATTTAAACAAAAACATACAAAGTCAGAAATGTAGTTTTGATTTAGATATTGAGTGCTTTAGATGTGTGTGTAGAACTAACAGCGATAATCATAGCTTTGCAATTT